ATTATGTGGAAGTTTGTTAATTATGCGTCGCCTTGTTTAAAATCACAATGTGATTTGCAATACTTAAAATCTCACTTTGTTACATACTTGTATTTTTAAATAACCACGCTGATTTGCTTCACAAAGCGTCACACATAACCTCGATACGTACAAATCCATGTGGCTCTGTAAAACGTTTCAATCATTAAAATTTTATAAAAATTTCTTCACTGGCTCTGGATATTTTAGAAAATTCTGTAAACACTGAAAAAGCATAGTTTTTATCAGAATTCTTTCAAGCGGGACCACGCATGTCCCAGCTTCATAATATTTTGCAGACTACCAAATAAACAGACTTATATTACCTTTTCAAGATAAGCCAAGAGCCTTACACTAATTTCCAAAAATTTCCATTCTCGTTTTACAGAGTCACCATGGCAGCGGTACCTTGTGACGGTGAAAACATAGCGAAAGATTCCCCTATCCAAATCGTGGATTTCCAATCCGTTCAGAACCGCACTTCCAAACTCAAATTTATGAAAAGGGTCCTAACAGGAATTCTCGAACCCATCTGGGATATACCCCTCCACGTCATTTCCATCGCAGGAGCATCCCGTCAAGGCAAGTCTTTCCTCCTCACCGTCATCACCAACTTGCTCACCTCACTCGAACTCGGAATTGACGACCCTTGGCGACAACTTCTTCAAGATGACCAACTTCGTGACGGATTCAAATTCCAGAACGGGGTGAATCGTCTCACAGTAGGATTCTGGATCTGGTCAAAGCCGTTCCTCCTAAAACGAAGGGATGGCTCTGAAATTGCCGTTCTCATCTTGGATACGCAGGGGGTATTCGACCACTTCACCACGAAACAGGACTGGTCCATGATTGTCGGTCTATCCCTTCTCACCTCCAACACGGTCATTTACAATCTTATGAACAACATGCAGGAAGACACCCTCACTGTTCTGAACACTTTTATGGAATTTGGGATGCTTTCTCTGCAAGAGGGAGACATCGAAGCGAAACCGTTTCAAAGATTAATTTTCCTCATCAGAGATTGGAATATTCCGCAATCATTTCCCTATGGTGCGGTTGGGGGGCATCAGTTTATTCAGCAAAAACTTGAACCAAATCCGTCGATGGCACGGGATTCCATTAGTGTGAGGGCCAGTATTAAATCATGTTTTGAAGAATGTGAGTGCTTCCTCTTACCCCACCCGGGGCAGCGGGCGATTCAAAATAACTTCGCGGGAAAAATGAGTGAGCTGGATGATAATTTTAAGAGTCAATTGAAAATTTTGATGGATGAGTTGCTCAACCCTGACACCCTGAAGCAGAGGGAGATACAAGGAAACCCCGTCATGGGGAGAAATCTATTGGATCTTTTTGAAAAATTTGTGGCTGCTTTCAACTCGATTAAACTCCCAGATGCTAAATCGCTTTTGGAATTGACGGTTGAGGCGTCCCTGGAAGCGATATCTAAACAATGTACAGACCAGTTTCAAAAAGAATTAGAAAAATCTATGAAGGATGTCGAATATATGCAGGTAGACGAACTTAAGGGTCTTTTTAACCAATTGTCTCAGCAAACTGTACAACAATTTGAACAAATGACGCAAAATATTAGCCAGGCTAAATTGAAAAAGCGAATAATGGGGATCATGATGAATGAATTGATTGGAAAATATCACAAAGAGCACGAAACGAATAAAGCGAAGAAATCACAGCTAGAGGACGCCCTTCTCCAGAGTGGGAAGGATATTTTCTCCAACCTTATGATCCAACTTTTAAGCCAGTGTCCTCTCCTTCCCCATCAATTTGAGGAGGCAAGGGTAGAAGCAGAACAGAAAGTTTCAGACCACCTTCGAACCCACTGTGGTCATTTACGAGACGATAATTTTCATGCAAAAATCCTCGCAAAAGTTCGTCCAGATTTAATCGCCATGGTAACAGAATTCAAGTCCAAAAACAACGCTAACTTTGCTCAGCAACAAGCTGTAATCTCCCAAGTGGTCATCACCCTCCTTGACGAGTACAGAAATCTACTCCACATTGCAAAAATGGCCGGAAACGCTTTTACAAGAACCCGACTTCAAGAGGTGCACCACCTAGCGGAGTCCACAGTTCTGGGGAAACTCTCCACCCAGCTCTCCACCCAAAAACAACAACTTGCGCAAACAGTTGAAGCCGAGCTAAAATCAAAAATTATGGAAGTACTCCACCAAATTTCAACCGAAATAACTGGGAGACAGGAACAGCTACACTGCAAATAAACTGGTGTCAATTCCGCGCGGTGTAGTCACATATAGACACCACGCGGTGTTAATACGGGCAATTAACACCGCGTGGTGTCTATCTCAAGGAGTTGGAGCATATGCATCGAACCGCAGGGAAGAAAGCACGGGCCCAACTCAAAGTCAAGAAGCATCCTAGGGTTCTTCAGGAGTTAGACGAGTCATTAGAGATGGCTTTTAAGCGATATGTTGACCTAAACGATATTCGACACACCGACTTAACTGGGATCGCCATTGGTATCGACCTCGGCACAACGTACTCTTGTAGCTCCGTCTATCGGTCTGGAAAAATTGAAATGATTCCAGAGCGAAATTATCACAGATTTACCACCCCAAGCAACGTATTATTCAAGGAGGAGAATAACGAAATTGTTGTTGGTCAAACGGCCAAAGATCAATCCATTGAGCATCCTGGGAACTTTGATGCGAAGAGACTCATCAGTCGGAAATTTGATGACCCCCTTACCCAAAAAGACATTAAACTTTGGCCGTTTAAAGTCATCAATTACAATGGCAAACCAAAAATACAAGTCGGATCGAACACCTACTTCCCGGAACAAATTTCGGCAGAAATTCTCAAGAAACTTCGACAAGATGCCGAGGTTCATTTAAACTGCACCGTCAAAGATGCCGTCATCACGGTTCCAGCCTACTTTTCGGACTCACAAAAGCAAGCCACAAAAGACGCCGGAGAAGTGGCGGGGCTAAACGTCCTTGGTATCCTGAATGAACCGACGGCGGCAGCTATCGCGTACAGTCTTTCCTACACGGACGAACTCAAAAGGAACGTCGTCATCTATGATTTGGGTGGTGGCACTTTTGACGTTTCGATTCTCGCCATACAAAAAGGAGAAATCGAAGTGAAGGCTGTTGGAGGAAACAACCATTTGGGAGGACAAGATTTCGACAACGCCATGTTGGATCACTGCCTCAAGGAATTTCAACTGAAACACGGAATTGATCTCCGGACCGGGGATCGCGACACAATTATCCAAGGAAGACTTCGAAGAATTCGGCATATCTGCGAAAAAGAAAAGATTGGCCTTTCCGAAACTTCTTCGGTTACCGTAATTGCGGAAGCTGTCACCCCTGATAAAAATTTGAGCGTTGCCATCACCCAGGATCAATTTAACGAAATGAATAATGCCAGCTTCCTCGTAACGATCGATGTGGTGAAGAAGGCTCTTGCCGAAGCCCACCTAACTCCGGACGACATTGATGACGTGGTCCTTGTCGGGGGGTCCATTCGAATCCCCAAAGTCCAACAAATGCTTCAAGATTGTTTTCCCGGGAAGACTCTGAATATGAAACTAAATCCGGATGAGGTTGTCGCAAGGGGGCAGCAATTTATGCCGCGATGCAAAGCGGCTCACAAGCCCGGCTCCTGGGACATATTTCACTTTCTGATGTTGCCCCACTTTCACTTGGAATTGAAACGTTGGGGGATGTGTTTTCGATAATTATTCCGAAAAATTCAAAAGTTCCCGCCACCAAGACCAAGCAGTATACCACGAGCACTAATAATCAAACAGAGGTCACAATCAAAGTGTTCGAAGGCGAGGATAAAGTGGCGACAGAGAATAATTTACTAGGAACTTTTAGCCTGACCGGGATTCCACCTGGGCCGGTGGGACGGGAAAAAATTGACGTTACCATAGACGTCAATAAAGAGGGAATTTTGAATGTGACGGCAAAAATCATTTCCACCGGTGGAAATAAGGAGGTGAGGATAGATTCTCAGCGAACTAATCTTACCCGAGAGGAGATTGCTAGGCTAGCTTAGTAAAAAAAATAAGAGGTGAGTAAAAAAAATCAAATCCATCTTAGGTCCAGATAATTGTGTCAGTTGTTAATTTGCCATTCTTGCAGTCTGTCGTGGATCAGATGCAGGACCGTAATGCCAGCCTTCCAAAAACAAAATCTTCCTAACGTAAAAAAGGAAACTTATCAAAGCGACCGTATTGCTGCTTATCATATTTTAAAATAGGATTTTCTTTATAATTTTTTTTCCCTATATTATCTATACATGGTTTAGAAATAATTGAATAGTTTGGAATTAAAGGATTTTGAACTTAAACCGGCTGGTTACGTATAAATTAGATTTAGGAATTTACCATTACGTATAAATCAATATCGAGCTGGAATTTGGTTTTGGATAGCATGGGAAAGATAGGGTTTTTTTCCTATCCCACTCATGTCAGCCAGCGTTACGTAATTTATGGACGGCGCCTTAAGGATTACCGTGCCGGATTTCATGTTTTTAAATCAATTTCTAAAAATCGGTATGGGTCACCCCATAGGATCACATAAAAATTTACCAATTTCATTTCATATTCGTGCATTAGAACCCATAAAAAACCAAATTCCAGCTCGATATTGATTTATACGTAATGGTAAATTCCTAAATCTAATTTATACGTAACCAGCCGGTTTAAGTTCAAAATCCTTTAATTCCAAACTATTCAATTATTTCTAAACCATGTATAGATAATATAGGGAAAAAAAATTATAAAGAAAATCCTATTTTAAAATATGATAAGCAGCAATACGGTCGCTTTGATAAGTTTCCTTTTTTACGTTAGGAAGATTTTGTTTTTGGAAGGCTGGCATTACGGTCCTGCATCTGATCCACGACAGACTGCAAGAATGGCAAATTAACAACTGACACAATTATCTGGACCTAAGATGGATTTGATTTTTTTTACTCACCTCTTATTTTTTTTACTAAGCTAGCCTAGCAATCTCCTCTCGGGTAAGATTAGTTCGCTGAGAATCTATCCTCACCTCCTTATTTCCACCGGTGGAAATGATTTTTGCCGTCACATTCAAAATTCCCTCTTTATTGACGTCTATGGTAACGTCAATTTTTTCCCGTCCCACCGGCCCAGGTGGAATCCCGGTCAGGCTAAAAGTTCCTAGTAAATTATTCTCTGTCGCCACTTTATCCTCGCCTTCGAACACTTTGATTGTGACCTCTGTTTGATTATTAGTGCTCGTGGTATACTGCTTGGTCTTGGTGGCGGGAACTTTTGAATTTTTCGGAATAATTATCGAAAACACATCCCCCAACGTTTCAATTCCAAGTGAAAGTGGGGCAACATCAGAAAGTGAAATATGTCCCAGGAGCCGGGCTTGTGAGCCGCTTTGCATCGCGGCATAAATTGCTGCCCCCTTGCGACAACCTCATCCGGATTTAGTTTCATATTCAGAGTCTTCCCGGGAAAACAATCTTGAAGCATTTGTTGGACTTTGGGGATTCGAATGGACCCCCCGACAAGGACCACGTCATCAATGTCGTCCGGAGTTAGGTGGGCTTCGGCAAGAGCCTTCTTCACCACATCGATCGTTACGAGGAAGCTGGCATTATTCATTTCGTTAAATTGATCCTGGGTGATGGCAACGCTCAAATTTTTATCAGGGGTGACAGCTTCCGCAATTACGGTAACCGAAGAAGTTTCGGAAAGGCCAATCTTTTCTTTTTCGCAGATATGCCGAATTCTTCGAAGTCTTCCTTGGATAATTGTGTCGCGATCCCCGGTCCGGAGATCAATTCCGTGTTTCAGTTGAAATTCCTTGAGGCAGTGATCCAACATGGCGTTGTCGAAATCTTGTCCTCCCAAATGGTTGTTTCCTCCAACAGCCTTCACTTCGATTTCTCCTTTTTGTATGGCGAGAATCGAAACGTCAAAAGTGCCACCACCCAAATCATAGATGACGACGTTCCTTTTGAGTTCGTCCGTGTAGGAAAGACTGTACGCGATAGCTGCCGCCGTCGGTTCATTCAGGATACCAAGGACGTTTAGCCCCGCCACTTCTCCGGCGTCTTTTGTGGCTTGCTTTTGTGAGTCCGAAAAGATATTGGATTGAAGAAAGAAACTATCTGGGAGTATATTGGTGAAAGAAATTTCAAAATCCGAGTAAAATTGGATTTTTGGCGTGGATTTGAGTGAGTGAAAACTGGAGTGAAAGCGTTTTTTGGGCATTTTTGAGTGGGTGTGGCGGGCGTAAATGTGGCCATGGAGTCAAACCAATTCAGGGTTTTAGTACACTCATGGGTCCCTACCACATATCCAAAGGGCATCAAGATCTGTTATTATCAACCTCGCAAGCTCCCCTCCTAAGTAAATCCATGTAAATAATTCGTGGTAAATTTTATTGCGTGAACACTAAAATATCGACCAAGCGAAATAAATTTACGTAAATTCTTTGGTCCATGACCAAAAGTTATTTAAAGAAATCAAATCACAAATGGGATTATTATGGCGATAGAAAGGCAGGAAATGGCCGGAATCTACCGGAAAACTGTTGCATTCCTTGACCTACCTGAACCCAAAAATCTGGCGGAGGAGGAACTTCTCAGTTGGAGGAACACTTTTCGATACGGGAAGCATCTCCGTGGGGCAACTTCAAGTAGGATGGAATTAATTATAATTAACCAACAAGGAATTGTAATTTTCCCTCAGGTTTCTATAATACGAATTATTTTTATTTAGGCGTTTCTTCCCAAAAATATGTACAACATCCGTCACTACCCTCCACCCCGATTGGTGTGCTGGAAAACGTAACCACCAAGCTGGATGGAATAAGGGATCAATGCTCTAAATTTTCCGGGCCATATGAAAACCCCCAGTATCGTGGAATTATCAACAACCTCGTCAAACTACAAGGGGAGTTGGACCTTCTAAAGACGGAGGATCCCGAGTGCGTTACCAGAAAAAGGGAAGTTCTGAGGGATATCATGCAAGTAATTAGAGACGTCTCGAACAAACTTCACCCTGAAGATAAATGCGAGGACTGCACTTGAACCCTCATTTAATATTAATTCAAGAAATTCTTGAAGCTTATTTCTTATTGGTTAACATTAATATGAAAAGTGCAAATAAATAAATCGACACAATTTAAAAGTTACCGTGAAATCACAAAATAGCACAAAATCTTTTCAAACATTTAAATGCAAAATATGTACGAAAATGTCTGAATTGGGTAAATTAGAGGGGAAACCTATTATTGCATAGTTCTATCTACGTGAATGAAGGGTAAATTAGAGAATTAGAGAAGTAAAGTATTATTACATAGTTCTGTCTACATAGTACGTGAATGAAACCTACGTACTTATTATTAATTTTGAACCTAAATATGTACATTCATCCATCCACTAAAGAATCCAGGGCAAACGTTGGTTGGTTGCTTTGTTCTTTAGCTTTCGCACACAAGTCTGACTTCGATCCCACCTTAATGTTATTCTCCGCTACATGCCACGTGTCTGCACAGGCTTATTGTCGTCACGAACGTAACGTGGCCTGCCAGAGCCACCAAGTGCCAAATTTTGGCTCTAAAAAAACGCCCTGTAACAATATTTACGTTGAAATTATTAAAGACGGACAGGTAGAGACCAGTGGTTATGGCGTCGGGTCTTACTAGGAAGACTCCGCAGGTGTGACCCCGAACTAGCAACGCCAGTGCATACATTCGACTGCAAACAATATACATATGCATGCCAAATAATTCTCTTATTCATTCTTGTGTGGGAGGATAGACTATTACATGTAGTAGAAATTCCATTTCAGTCAAATCGGCGATGGATGTCCATCACACATTTGTTCAACTGTATAAATCTAAATCTTTACATACCCATTTCTTCAGCGACCACATGTCATTTTAACACGTAAATTTCGCTACAGTGCCGAACAAAAATTAAAAAATGCGCCGAATGTATATCGTTGAAATTGTAGGTCGGGGTCACAACTGGCTAGTTTTCCTAGGTAAGCACCGTACTGTGAAGTTGAAATCGCAGGCTATGGTTTCGGTTATGCAACAAATATATAACCGACATTTATGTAACGACCTCTAAATTTATGTAGAGACATTTATGTAGAGACATTTATGTTACCCAACAAATATGTAACATGACAACCTGATTTGTTGAATATTTGTTGTTTGCATATTGGTCGCCTACATATTCGTCGGGCAGCATAAATATCGTTGACATAAATCTCGTTACATAAATGTCGGTTACATAGCTGTATTTACATATTTATCACCCCATTTTTTTTTTACTTGGTCTTTCATTTCCAGCAGGATTCAGTGAAATATTCCAGTGAAATATTCCACTGGCCCAGTGAGTGATTAAGACCATTCACAATGGACGAGGACACCCCTACACCCACCGTCTTCAAGCCAACATTCCAATTCGCACCTTTCGTCCACAGAAGAGAGAACGGCAATCCAGTCGCACGGAGCCGCCAAAAATTTCCCATTGCACCCGACACATTTAACTCTCAAGAAATGCCGGTTGTCAAGGCCGCCCCTCCATTTAACCACGAAGAGATTACCACAAATATATTTAGCCATCAACAACCTGCCGACGCCAAACCTGCCACAAAACCCAACTACACACAAATTCGTACAGTGACCTCATTCATTCCACAAAGCCAGCTACAAATTCCCACTGCCAATCCCATCAATCCCGTCGAGCTACAAATTTCCCCTGTTAATTCCGCCATTCTAGTAAACCATCCAAAAGTTCTCGCTGCCAACCCACTTAACCATGCACCTATTCCCGCCATAAATTTCACCGGCGCTCCACGAAACCATCCACATATTTCAACCACCCCTCTATTTAACAGCACCACCCCTAATCCCGCCAATCTACTAAACTGCCCAGAAATACCGACACCTTCTCAATTTAACTACCAACAAATTTTCCCTCCCGCCGCCCCTTCCCCAGATGCTCATGAGCAAGAAAAGACACTTCTGTACTCTCAAATCCAGCGCCTAAAACACCGTCACCACCAAACCTTGTCCAACCTTGCGGGATGCGACGATACATCAGTCATCCTACCTAATCCAACTTGTATAAAGTCTCACACCACAGAAAAATTTAGACAGCGACATACCCAAGAAACGGAGCGTGGCACGGAAGAGATTTTCCACACTCGTTACACCACCTTGCAACTTAACCACGTTGTCAAGGAAATTGATAAGTTTAAGTTGGGAACTAAAAAAACATACGAAAAAATTTGTGAAGAATATGAAGCCAAACTTTTACTCGAACTAGAGCAAATTGAAAACATCCAGCTCAGTGTGGTTCAATCGTACGATGAAAGGCTAAAAACCCGCTTAATCGAGTTAATTGTCACGTCATCCCTGTCTCCGTTTGATCCCGCCGTGAGATTCAGTTTGATCCAGGAATGCGAGAAATTGAAGGGGGATGCAAAATCAGAATTCAAATCAAAAGCGGTGAATTGTACGTTTGACCTGGATCAATTTGACGTGGGGGGCGCGAACATTCAAAATATTTATGATTTACTCCAATCATCGCTTTCAGAAAGGGTGGAAAATGTACAAAATACGATTGACGCTCTGCACGAAATTCATTCCCAAAATTTTTGTGAGCAAGCGGAAGCCCTGCAAAATAGATTCCCGAACGACTTGGAAGATACTGCTGAATTTAGTCGTGCCCTGGAGGAAATTTTACAAACCGTTAAAACCCAATATGCCGAGGAATGCCCGAATATTGGAAAAACTCAGTTTTTATCGGATTTTAAATCAATGAAAAACCATCTACAAGAGTTAAAAAATGGGTACGAATTACAGTTTTCTATCCATTTATCCCAACTCATCGGCAAACTAGGGGCAGATGAGGAATCAATTATCGAAATGTATGAATGTCTCATTTATCGAATCTGTCGAATTTATCGAATCTGAATCGAAGAATTTTAAGAATCCTGTGAAAGAGCAGGTTTGGTCAACTTCATTAATGCCAAACCCCTTAATTAGTATGCCGCTCACCTCCATCATCTCTTACAAACCAGAGACAATGTTGGAAAACAGCTTCGTCACAACCTCATCTGAGATATCTCTATTCGGCGTAGCCAACCGGTTCATAATCGGTCAACACATAGGTATCAATTAGGTATTGCTAGGATATATAAGCGAAAGCGCAGCCACCATAAAAGAAGGACGGTCGAGGAAGTATTTTGTGCTACTGCAGGTTACCTCTCCCAATATTATTGGGAGAGGCAGAGTTCTGCCTGTTTGTACAAGTAATAAATAAAACCTCTCTAAGAAAAGTGCAACCAAGTCTCATCTCGCCTCCCAGTTATTACGCACACACCACAACGACGACGACGATCGTCTCATCTTCCTCATCACCACCATCACTGCAGTCAACCCCCCATAAACGGAACTTCACATTGGTACCCACGGCGGCCTCTCGTTGTCAGAAGGAGAGAAGGACGCCGCACCCCCTCACTCAACTCGCCCCATCTTCACGACTGCAGTGTGACGAAGTGTCACAACGACAAAAACGCCCCATTCCCTCTCTACCCCCCATCTTCACGACGTCGGTGTGACAGACTGTCACCCAGGTAAGTAAAAAAAAAATTTCCATGACTTTCTAACCACCCCCCCCCCCCACACTCTCCCCCCTTCACCATGTTACACGATCCACCATTGGTCGGTACTCCGTCGATATTTTACAGCAAAAAATTTGAGTTCCCACCACCGACCATACGTCCACAATTCCCTAGAATCAGGTACCTGTCAGAAATAAAAAGGACGGGGAGAAGTTTGGGGAACACTTCTTGCCCATAGGGGCCCCTACATTTCAAGTACACATAGAAGACTTTATGAATTTATTTCCCTTGACTGCGGAGACAGCAAGGACGAGGTCATTTTTCAGTCCTTTTTGCACCTAGTAGGCCACAGTAGCCATTTTTTTCGCCATTAAGCGTATTTTTCTAATTATCGGTTCACGCTCCGAGGGGGCGCCGATATATTTTGAAAATCATTTACCCTGTGACAGTAAGCCGTACGAAGTCCGTTGTTCTCTCCAGCCGTTAGGGCATCCTCCGTTTCATTTAGCGTGTTGGTAGTTATAGCTATTTTTCCCATACCTGACTCACATCACTTTGTCATAAGAGAGAGCGGCAGCTCGTTCAACTTGACGGAATTGAGGATAATTTCATTTCTCGACATCGATATTACAGATCCAAAACCACTAACTCCACATCGTCCTCCCCGAATCCTCGTTCTCCTCCTACTTACCGGTTACCTATAACCACATACGATCCACATTTTCATCCGGCACGCCCACTAGACCAATATTTTTCGGCGGACGAGTCGGCCTTACATCTGAATTAACCCCCCCCTGAATTATAATCTCACACTCTTGGTCCTCATAATTTTGGTGCCACGTCGATTGGCCAATCTCTCCCATCAGCGAGGAACTTTCCAATTTCAACATCTCGACCCCAAATCGAGGTTGTTCCGCATACTTTTGGTGCCACGTCACTTGGTCAATCTCTCCAACCTGCCACCCCCTTTCCAATTTCAACATCTCCACCTCAAAACGAGGTTGTTGCTCCTCACCACGATATCATTTTGAGTCCAAGACGTTCACCCCAACCAGAAACTGCTTCTCCTTCATCACCTCTCTCTTCTGACCCCGATAGCTAAAATCCAGTTTCGAGTGCAAATCAACTACCTGCAGCATCCATCCCTGCGACTTTTTATCTCAAAACTAGTATCTTGCCTCCCGCTACTTTCTATCCTCAACCAACCGCCAGCCCCCAACGTCTTCCATCAACCACCACACTCCACTCCAAACCGCATCTCAAACATCGTAGTCTACGAAACCTCCTGCACAACGACTCCGTGCCCATCACACCCTCAATCCTTATTGGTACCACAACATCTTTTACTCCACCTCCCAGCAGTGGTTGAGACCCTGCCCAAAACAACCTTCCGCTCCTCAACCACCACCATTTTTTCCTTTCATTATTGCATCACCCACTCTTTTCCAAATGGGGACAACTATCAACGACATCACCATCTCTCCAGGATGTTCACTTCCGACAGACACTAACTCTCCTCTTTCTTTCCCACAAGTGCCCACAAGTCTGTCCTAATACGGAGTTGGAACCTTTACCAACCCCCGCGGCACCTCTCTCTGCTAACATTTTTGTGCCACCTCACGTTCTACCTTCCTTCCAACCTGTACCTCCACACCATACCAACGCATTCTATCGACCACCTTTCCCTCCCTCGCATATCTCGACCATTGATGGCGACTTCTGCGCCTGCCCACCACACATCTCTCACATCGACAATTTGACGGGGTGGCCCACACCCGCTACATCTTCTTCCTACGATGCAGTTTTCGCCCACCTCATTCAAGCCTTAAGGTTTGCTTGCATTCAAGAACGTAATGCACACCCCCCATTCGTCAATCCCCGATCGACCAACGACCCGCACTTTGTCTCTCTCTTAGCCCAACAACTTCCCTCCCAATTACAACAAGGGATTGGTACATCCGACATGAGGCCTCATGTAGTCTCTGCAGGTTCAGATTCTATTCATATGTTAGATGCACCTCGCCCTCGTTCCTCGGGTCAGCACATGACCTTCCCAGATTCCCCACCGACGGGTGGTTTTAGACACAATAACTACCAACAGCGCACCTCACAGGGTAACCGTAACCGTAACCATAGGGGTAGATCTTCGTATTCCATCAACCGTGGTGGCGGTTTCTCTACCCGCCAGAATGTACATAGCCAATTCCATATCACAGCACCTTCGAATCACTGGCAATCCAGGAATACAGAATTCCGAGACACACATCACATACAGGATGGTGTCGGCCGTAATTTTGGTGGAGGTGGGAGAGTTCATTCTCGACGACGCTACAACCCCAATACTAACCGGCCTCGAAGTGAAAATCACTCGTTGTATTCTCCCCCTAACGCATACCCCCGCCAATCAAGTTATAACTCACTGCCTATACATACTAACTACAATCCAAATCGCTCCTCCTCACATACACCAAATACCTGGCGACCAGATCTATTAACTCGACCTAATCTACCTACCAACCTCTCCCGACCACTTTCCAATTCTAACCCTCTACCTTCTTCACCCAGCCAACGCCTCGCCCCCCACACCGCCGGTGGCAACATTCCTTTTCCTTCATGCCCCGATTGCGTCGCCTCACGACACACGAATTTCTCTATCCCACATACTTTTAAACCAGGCAGCGTTTGACCAACCTCTGCCCCTCGGCAACGTTCTAAATTAGAGCACCATATTACACTAGCTGTAATAATTATATACGTATCACGGCGAACCCAGGATGGTCCCCTTGACTATCCCCGTAATACAATAGTAATAAATAGTAATAATTACCGGTCACCCAGATAGCTGTATTAATTCTATACGTATCACGGCGAACCCAGGATGGTCCCCTTGACTATCCCCGTAATACAATAGTAATAAATAGTAATACTTACCGGTCATCCAGATATATATATATATACGTAGTCTAAAACCTACCTATAGGATTTACAAAAAAAAATATATATATAAAAATCCACAAGAGAATTCTTTCTCCTGTGTATTTTTTTGCCCTTTTTCATAGGTGATTTTCGATATCTAGGATTACGTGGACATCCCTCATTCTTTTGTACCACGTAACTATTACTTAGAAGCGAAAACCGGATAGTCTACCATATTAAACAGCGGTCGCTCTATGGTCCCCACAACCATTCGCCGCATTAAATATATAAGAGAACTAACGACGCGATAATCATAAATCCACAGGAGAGTTCCTTCTCCTGTGCATTTACGTTGCATATAGACTTCCATGGGCATCTCCCCTAATGAGTACCCTCACTCCCCTACCTTAAGATTTAACACTAGTAAGCTCCTCCTGGTCACCTTCGTCTGCACATTTTTCCAGTATTAGGCAACCTTCGATCTATCATTCAACCAGTAGCGAATTGTCAGCTCAATTACATTAGTTTTCTTTCTTAATCGCTACTACGTACTTCCCCGTCTGTTCACGAACCACGTACGCGACTCAGCAATACGTTTAGTATACCGGTATCTTCTACTCTACCTCTATATACTCAATCGCTACAACACTTTGTCCAATCTCACTATACCTCACCCCCGATGTTATTCTCAATCCATATACATTTTGGACCAACTGGACCACAATATTACTCTCCTCGCTTCTGGGCTCATCTCCCATGCTGTTCACAAACAATTAGCCGTCTCACTTACAACGATCCGACCCCCCGACCACAATCTAGCTCCAACCCACCTCCTCACCCCTCTTCTCCACCTCACCCAACCAGCGTGACAACGTTCAGACACCTAGATTCATATGACTCCTATCCCACACCATGCATCGGATCCTCCCTGCCTAAATACGCCCCTTTGCGTCAATACTTCCCGCATAAACAACCCCCTTTCAATTTTTTTGAATCTAAAGGACACCTTCCACTCACCATAAGTTGGCCTCATTATTTTCTCGCCTTCCATTTACTCTGGAAGTTCCCGATCTCCCTTCTCCTACTTCAACGTTTTCAACAGGTAACCCAGACTTCCCGACTCTGAAAGTGAAGACACATCGGTGAACCTCAACTACGCCTCATCGGCTCCAATCCTGTTTTTTTTCACGACGATCATTCTCCAACTGCATAACCCAACATTCAACCATTGGACTACAACCACTTGCCAGTGCGCTGCCAAACACCAAAACACGCCACCATGGATCCACTCCTGCCATGCTTACCCGACATCACTTATCTCTCCCAACAGAACCGCCCGTACTCGATTATCTTGATGCTGACAGACGAGGAAGAACTTTTATTGGTCTCAGAATTACGTCGCCTGTTCAAAATGGGACACCACCTCACCCATCTTCACCTCAAACAAATTTTTTATGTATTCGCCACAACAGTGAAACCCCCACGCTCCAACAAGTTTTGTCACGCCACTTCAACCGTTGACATTGCGTAGTTCGACGAATTTTGCAATAGACACCCAGAAATTATCTCCCACCCTTCAGTCCTCACCCACCAAGGCGCTTTCGACACCTGCAGCAGGCACAATCAAGCTTTGTTTACCCTCCCCTCCTCAGCCCAAAATACTGAGGAGGCACATGGGTCACCAGTTATCACCCCCACGACCGCCCCTTCCTCAAATCTACCCCCGAATTTTAAGACCCGTCCCGGAATTCTATCTTATTCCGCCTCTCGTCGTCACTCCACACGTCCCATCAGATATCGACCACGCCATAGACTCTTACACACTTCCGGCCTGGCGCAACAATTTTTTAATCCTCCAAAGACCACCCCCCCTTCAATTTACAACGGATATTTCTTTTCTTTACACCGAAGACCTCCTCATCCATGCCCTCCCTAATCTCCCCCTGCTTGCGGCTCAACTTCCGGCGACTCTATCCCTCTCTCTGCCGTCCATCTGAACCCCCACACCCCACCCTTCTCGTTCTTTCAACCAACTCAGACACCCGTTTTACCCTCTCAGCACCATCAATTTCATTCAGAAGACCAACAATTAACCACGGTTACAAATTATTGGAGATATTGGAAATTTTGTCAATTTATTTCAACAACAAAAAAAAAATTCACCACGGTTACAAATTTTTGGAGATATTGGAAATTTTGTCAAATTTATTTAGACAGCAATCAATTAACCAACTGTTACAAATTATTGGAAATAGTTCACATTATTGGATACAACAAAAACTTATCTACGACGACGATAATCTACTTCTGGATTAGGATTTCCTTGGCATCCTATCAGATGACATCTTCCTTGATTACAAGAACCGCCGTTGCAGTTCTTCAGGTGATACCTCCATCGGTCCATCGCGATGAAGACATGGCCACATGGACACCTCCTCCGAAACCACTGAAATCATCAAGACAATTAATTATTATCTTCGCCATTACACCTCTGTCCAACCCCTTCAACAACGGTTCTCCCTTACTCAGTTTCAATTACCTTTTTCGACCTGGCCTTTATCCTCGTTTTTCCTTCCGCCATCACCCTCCCGCTACCACCGGCCTGGTTGGCGCTCCTCTCGGTCTCACCTGCACCAGTGGAAGACTTCTTCTCCTTCCGGACACGTTTCACCTGCCAAATTCAAACAATTTCAGGCCATCATTTTTTTTTTCAAGCAAGTGCGCCCCCCTACATCCACACACTACTAGCCCGGCTCCTCACCTTAACAAACAACGCCTCCAAGTCCTCCTCCTCCTCCGAAGACACCGGTCCCGAATATTGGACCTACATACAAACCATTTCCGACAGTCAATCTTTTTATCAGGTCATCTACTCAGGGGTTTCATCTTTATTAAATTGGCAAACAACTCATCCCTTACTTGATAATTCCTGCCGCCTGTTGTCCCTCTTCCACCACTACTACCCGGCTGCATTTCAGTTCTGTGGCCCACCTCCTAAACACACATGTCACCATTACTTCTCCACTCGCAAGAAAGAACAAAAAATAGACCAACACAAACACAACTACCCCCCAAACAAAAAACGACATAAATAATAATAAAACCCAAACAAACAACAAAAAAAATCAATAAAAACAGACCAATCCACAGACATCTCAACGATAACTACTTACCACCGTGCCAACTGCTGCGGCGTCATCATCAAACAAGAAGCATAGAAGCAAGCAACAACATAATCAGCCTTAACTGAGCAAACCATATGACAACAATAGCACCTCACCTGAGCACGTTAAATCTATGACTTCGATTCCAGAAGCCCTGCCACTCCCTGAGCCTACCTCAGGAAGGCGAGTTAACACAACTCGACACTCGGGTAGGTTGTACCCCAAAACATGACCACGATCTTCTCTGCGATGCGGCAAAGGTCGAAGACTTCGACGCGACTCGTTGGGGGACACCTCCATCACAGAAATTGGAGGCTGGTACTCCTCGCCCTCACAACCAGACGTCTGCCGCCCTCCACGGGATTGGAGTTCCTCGCCAAAAATCCCAAGTCCAACGTCGTCTGCTGTACCCACCGGGCATAGTGGACACCTTCCCCATCATAGAAAGGCGTCACCCGGAACCTCATCCGAGGCCCCAAGATAATCCTGGCAAAATGCCCATTTATACATCACACAACCCACGCACCAAATACACCCTCCCCTGGGAATAAGTCAATTTACTTACTCCAGATTTGGGTCCACGGACGACCTTCCTAATTTGAGCTCGTTCGGAAGAAACCTGCTGTGCAGATTCAAATCGTCCCGGGGCGGAAAGAGTGCAAGCTCACGGGACCAACTGGGATGACGGAGGACCACGCAACTCCCGTCCGTCAGCCCCAAATCTTCAGGCCCCATCTATTCGGAGGGTCCGTCCCCCACGACCCAACACGCAAAATGGACCCCCCGAATCTTCTCGGTGATGAAGAAACGCAGCCCCCTTCCCCAGGACACCCTGCAATAACGACCAACTTTAGGTTTACCTGCCCTTCCCATCACCAGGACCTTGTTATTTCTCATTATCATCTCTTAATCATATAATCATACATTTTTCCCCCAATCAATAAAGGGGACACGTCCAATCCTCTCCCTGCGATGGGCAGATAGGGCACGACATCCCGCACTATCGGTCCAGTAGATAATTCTTCGATTACCACCATGGTCCAAACACATCAACCAACACATGTTACTTACAAGAAAAAGTTTTTTTTACAATAATTATAATCCCATCTTATGAACAGGTAACCATAACTACTCATAAGGACAATATTAATTTCCGTAATTTTTAGCCCAGTATTAATCACCATTATTGTTTACCAATTTTTTCTTTAATTGTTAGAGCACTTTTTATTTTACATTAATTTCTGTTACATTCTAAGACATTTTAATTGTAGGATCTATGAACTAATTTAGATAACTCTTGGCACTCATAACTCGTCGTCTATTACTTTTAGTATTTTCGTCATCACACCATTGTTTTCACATCTGGCACTCCTCTGTCTTTGGCTTACCTTGCTTCGGCCTGCCGGGCACATATATATTTTTCAGACAGCTCCAATCCGGTCCACAATCGGCTACACACATGCAGTCCTCCTCACCCAATTTTAATAATTTTCCTATCTAAGAATTTTAATTTTCACAATTTCTCAAACTCCCAATTTTAATAATTTTCCTATCTAAGAATTTTAATTTTTTTAAATTTTTCAATCTCTAAATTTTAACAATTTTCCTATCTAAGAATTTTAATTTTCACAATTTCTCAAACTCCCAATTTTAATAATTTTCCTATCTAAGAATTTTAATTTTTTACAATTTTTCAATCTCTCAATTTTAACAATTTTCCTATCTAAGAATTTTAATTTTTACAATTTCTCAAACTCCCAATTTTAACAATTTTCCTATCTAAGAATTTTAATTTTTACATTTTTTTAAACTCCCAATTTTAACAATTTTCCTATCTAAGAATTTTAATTTTTACATTTTTTTAAACTCCCAATTTTAACAATTTTCCTACCTAAGAATTATAATTTTTATAATTTTTCAAACTCCCAATTTTAATAATTTCCCTATCTAAGAATTTTAATTTTTGCAATTTTTCAAACTCCCAATTTTAACAATTTCCCTATCTAAGAATTTTAATTTTTGGCAGTTTTTCAAAATCCCAATTTTAACAATTTTCCTATCTAAGTATCTTAATTGTTTCCATCAAAATCTGCTACCTCATTTTTAATTTTTCGTTAATAATTTTCCGACTTTCCTACATAAGTTTTAAAAATTTGTTTTAGTTTTTTCTTTAATTTTACCAGCCATGCACGCATTTATGCATGCATTTTATTCTGCTAAAATACCTCCCCGTTATATTTCATTCACGAACACACTTTACGTCAACAAAGTTTACATGCAATTGTCCACCCACCACCATCGTGAATACATACCTCTCCATACTTAACTGAAAAAAAACACAAATTTACTTACTTGGATTTTTTGACGAATTTTCCCGACTTTTCTGAATACGTTGACGCCAAGTAGGTACACAGAATCTGACTGAATTAAATCTCGCATTTTTTCGTTTGTTGTGGTAGGGCCACCGCTTACTAAAGGTGGATATTGTGAAAGAGCAGGTTTGGTCAACTTCATTAATGCCAAACCCCTTAATTAGTATGCCGCTCACCTCCATCATCTCTTACAAACCAGAGACAATGTTGGAAAACAGCTTCGTCACAACCTCATCTGAGATATCTCTATTCAGCGTAGCCAACCGGTTCATAATCGGTCAACACATAGGTATCAATTAGGTATTGCTAGGATATATAAGCGAAAGCGCAGCCACCATAAAAGAAGGACGGTCGAGGAAGTATTTTGTGCTACTGCAGGTTACCTCTCCCAATATTATTGGGAGAGGCAGAGTTCTGCCTGTTTGTACAAGTAATAAATAAAACCTCTCTAAGAAAAGTGCAACCAAGTCTCATCTCGCCTCCCAGTTATTACGCACACACCACAACGACGACGACGATCGTCTCATCTTCCTCATCACCACCATCACTGCAGTCAACCCCCCATAAACGGAACTTCACAATCCATACAAAAGGTTTGGATGAGCTGTCCCTAAAAATTGAAGGCATCACCAACTCCCTTAGCGGACAGGGCAAGGCGAGCTTGAAAGCAAGAGTCGCGTCCAGACTGGAGCAACTCTATGAGAATGAAATTGTTCCAGATGTCACCCGAAAATGCCTCAAAGTTCCACCGGAAACCATGACTGAAATCGAATTGAATCAACCCGAATCGGAAATTGAAGCTGAACAGGTCGCAATGAATCCCGAGTTTGACGTCTCCATTACCGAATTACTCAATAATATTGGTGGCGGACTTGTTGAAATTACCCTCGGCTCGGAATCATCAAATCAAAATGCAAATTTTGGCGAAGAATCGGCTCAAAATGCGCATCATAAAGATAAAATCAGAAATGGCGAGATTCAAAAATTTCTCATGTGCAACCAGAACGCAGGGGAGAATGTTTCTGAATTTTTTACCAGATTGGAGAATATCGTAGAACTTTGTCGGTTTGGGGAGGGTGATAGAGAGACTCTGTTTTTAAACCGGTTTGTCCTTGGCCTAAGGGAGGCTGGGATAAGGGATGTGTTGACCTTGTTTTTGACGAGGGATGAAAACATTGTCCGGGATTTAGCTGCGATGTGGGATCGACATAATTCTCAAGCAGTTTTGAATAGATTTAATACAACATTGTTGCGGAGACGGTATTCTTCCACGGCGTGATTTTTGTACGTATTTAATTCCATACAGAACAGATTCTGTGGGTGCCTATGTATGTATGTAAAGGTGATTTTATTTAAATTCCGAAAATATGACGCCTACTCGGCTAATATATATTTGCATGTATAATTGAATTGAAGAATATTTAGAATATGAACGTATGTACATACTTTTTGACACTTCTGTAATTTTCCTACCTATTTCTTAACAGTTCAGGACGTGCGACTATTTTGTGCAAGCAATTTTATTTGCTGCGAGGTTTTCTTGAGTTTGTTGGATTTCGGTAGTACGGGCATTTTTCTTTGCCATGTAAGTTTTTTAATTAGACAGATTATTTTTATTTGTAGCAGAAACATCAACAGAATTGATTTTCCATACAAAACTCTGCTTGAGACTAAACAAAGTGGCAAATTTGCACCGGGTGTGCATCGTATCATTAATTTTGTAACCTGCAATTCACAAGATTTTGACAATGTAAATATTTGTAGATTCCATAGATTGTATCTTTATTAATTCCAAAATTCTCTATAATGTAGTCCGATATATATGCACTAATCTGTATAATAACAAATTTTAATTATCTAACTGTTCTTGGGAAAATTGAGTTTGAATTTGAAATTCAAAATCGAATCATTAAATAAGTTACAGACTGTAAATGTTCCGAATTACTTGCTTTTAGCAAAATATTACCGTGCTTGACAAAAATTTAGTTTGAAGAAATGCGTATCAGTGGAATAATTGTAGTAAACTACATTATGAAACAGTTTCATAATGCCTCATTCTGGTCAATAGGGCAAAAAGGCAAAAATTCGCGCTACTAAAAAGGGAGGGAAAAGGGCCATTTTACTTGGGGTACACTACCTAAAAGCAAATTCGTGTTTTAATGAAATGTGTTATACTCGTTTTCTGTTAAAAGATTGCTTGGTCAGTAACAACATCAAATAAACTTTCAGGATATCTATGTATGTTGTGTAATAGAGACAATAAGTTATATATTAAAGTTAGTTGAATGAACTAAATCATCTGATGCGCAAATCTTACGTACATATTTTTCATATTAAGTGCTTCATTACGTGTGGTTATTTATTAATATTTGTGCTTGGAATTTTCAAGTACTAATATAAAGGTTTTACATACATCCCACAGGCTCATACTCATATTTAGAACTAACTTTTCCAGAATCTTACGATCAGAAGGTTCAATAACCTTGGTCTTCTTTGTGAAGGCTTTGCAACAAAACTTTGCTGAGCTGGCAAGCAATTTTATTCCTTATAGGTTAAAAATATGTGTACATACGTACATACATACATAAGTCAGGTAGGGTATGGAATTTACGTTTTCCCTTCAGAATGGCTTCAAAGTGGGTCAGATTTATTTATAAATATGTACAACCCTTAGTTTGTGAGGTGTTAATATGTTGATAAGTCAGCAATAAAATGGTTATGGGCCTTAACACTTTTAACCGCAATTACATACCTCCGATATTTTCATTGTCGAAGTATCCGTGAATTTATTTTTAGAAACTCGCTGGCAATATTTGCAACTATACAATACCCGCCATTACCCGCCACTGCTACCATGGATGGCTTATCATATTAATCAACAGCTTATCGATTTATTAAGAAATGAAAACATGATAGTCAATTAATCGACCTTTTTGGATGCAATAAATAAGGTTAAATATGTAAAGTAAAGTAAGATTATTATATTGCGTGACAACCTGGAAAAAGTAGTGTTAAACAATAAATAATTCATTTATTTAATAAGTAATTTCACGTAATAAGTAATACAAGAAATAATATGTAAATAACTTTACGGAATTCTCTCAACATTGCGTCCCGTGCTAAAATCCGCTCCCCGCATTAATTCTTCTTTGTAGAAAAACACGACCCAAATTGTGTATACGTTCAGGACTTCAAGCATAACGTCATATTCTCCCATCTCAAAGTAGTGCGGTCGCTCCATGAAGGTGGTAACCATGGTTACGATAAAACCGTTAATGATTGTGGACCAAATTGAAATCTTCCAGCAGCGAGTAACCAAACTATAATTACTCTGTGGAGACAAAGACATTACCAATTACTTAAATTTGATTTATATTTAAAATGTAGAGGAATATTTATTCTCTAATTATGATACTTCATTTGCATATTGCTCCCCGAACAAAATTTTACATCCCATTTGCAAGCGAATTTCAACTTGCAATTCGTTCAACTCGAACATAGCTCTGCGGTAAATTTTATTAATTCACATATACATATAGCAAGTACATAAATATGTATACCTATTCAGCTTAACCGCTTTGACACCACTGATTTTTTAATGAAATTTCGCACGTTAATTTCATATTTACACCAGATAGCAGCCAATTAAAATATTCAGGCAATTTCCAATTTTTGCGTTTTTGACGAAAAACATGAGAAATCAACTTTTTAACGTTGGTCGGTGTATGGAAAATTCCAAAATTGTGGAGAAAAATACTAGGGTTGCCCCGGGTACCGGGTAACTACCCGGTACCCGGCATACCCGGCCTGTTTTGGGATATACTGAATACATAGTTGAAGGGTGTTTAAGCCACTACGGTGAACGGTTGACAAGTCACAAGAACTTGCTTCCAGTTCAAAAAATGTACATAATCATGTTGGACGGACGATTCCATACGTATTTATAACGACAAGTATCTAGCACGAAGGAAGAGATTTTTATAGAATTTATGGATAAAAAATTATGTAGGCGTCTCATATGAAATATTTGATAGCAAATATGCATATGTACAATAATAAATACACTTGGTAACTAGTGTACACTCAAATAGATCATATCGCTACTTAGAACTGAAAGCAGTACCCAAATTAAAAGAAGAAAACGACCTCTCACCACCTTCACCTGTCAGTTAGTTGAGAAAAAGGCCGGCCCGGTACCCGGCCGGGTACACTTAAGTACCCGGTCTACCCGGCCGGGTAATTTAAATATTCAATTTTCTTACTTAAAACGCAAAAATCTTACAAAAAAATATAATCCGTCGGAGTTCATTTTTATACTTGGTATAAAATAATATCTTTGGAAACAATGAGTACAACCTTGGCCAACACTTATTTGGAAATTATGGTACACATTTCAAAATGAGTTTGGGCGCACTCACGTGAGCGAATTATCAATAAGTCAATTTGCATATTTCGAACATTAAGCATAACTTGCGAAGTTTTTGGAAATTTGCAAGATCACTCAAAGCTTTTGCTAAAAAGCCATTGATTTTTTCGTAAAATTATTTCCCAGACTCATCCTCGCGATCATCAGCGAGAGAAATTGCGAACCTCATGACTAAAAAAGCAAAATAGATTTAGTTGATTTGAGAGACTTTCGAAGTGTTGTCTTGCTAATCGATTCGCAAGATATCACCTTGGAAGTCTCACAAAATTTGTTTTGTGAGGTAATCCCTTAAGAAATAACTTTGTTACGCCTAACAAGTTTGCTAAATGATTGCGATGATAAATATCACATTGTCGTGAGTACGCTCTTTGTGTGTCAAATATGATTCTTTCACTTATGTAATATTCACTTTCTAGCCCGATTCATTAGTCTGAGAAGTTGAAATTTTTAGCACATGCATATTGGACAAAGACATGGCAAACAAGTTCAAAGATAGGCTATATCGGTCACCAAGTTGACCTTTGGTTGGTGGTCGTACTGGAGCAAAGTGTAACCATAGTGAATCTAACCTTAGAGAATGCGACCCGTACCAATTTTTACAATATATTACTTTCATTTGAAATTTGGTACGGAGGTTAAAAATGAAGTCTGCACTGTAGAAACTTAGCTTGTAATTTTGAAAACTTATAAAATTGTTGCAAATTCTAAAAAAGTTGAAAATTGCCCTTATTTTTAATATTTAAAAATTACCCGGTACCCGGCCGGGTAGCCGGGTACCCGGCCGGGTAGCCGGGTACCCGGCAAAAAGTTTAGGCCGAGTACCGGGTAGCCGGGTACCGGGTAGTGCCACTACCCGGGGCAACCCTAAAAAATACCCAAATCATCCACTTTTTACCATCGAGTTTTCTACAAAATACGAAAGAAATACATATTACAAATACATATTTTCGGAAGAAGAAAACCACGGGAAATTACCGTTCTTAGACTTGATGTTATATGAAAAATCTAACCGATCAATTGGATATCATGTATACAGGAAACCTACCAACACCAATAAATACCTGAACTACAATTCACACCACCCACTGGCTCATAAAATTGGTGTAGTGGACACTTTACTTACAAGAGCTCATCGACTGTCGGACGAAACCCACATTGAAGAAGAATTGGGATTAACAATGGACATTTTAAGAAAAAACGATTATCGAAACAAGTTAATTAAGAATAGATTGGATATAGTAAAAAGAAAAGCAGAACTAAATTTTCCAAAAAAAGATCCGGAGTTTGAAAAAAGAATCATTTTACCTTATGCTGGAGATGTAACTACGAAAATAGCTAAATTCTTGAGAAGAAAATTGGAAATAGAACTTGGATATTACCCTGGGACTAAACTAAACTCTCTTATATGTAACACAAAAGAAAAACCTCCCAACACCAAAGCTGGAATCTACAATTTCAAGTGTAAAAACTGCTCATCTAAATATTTTGGAGAAACTCAAAGAGATTATGAGAAGAGATTTGCAGAACATCAATCCGACATACGCAGAGCAGTAACAACTTCTCCTGTATCATTACACATGGCAGAAAGTGACCAAGTAGATACAACTTCTGTCAAATTAATTATGAAGGAGAAAAGACGCTATTTCCGGAAGTTTAAGGAAGCATTATGCATACGCAGCACAGAAGAAAAAATGAATAACTCTCAAGGAATGCATATCAACCCTATATGGTGCTCAGCACTCGTCACTTTTTTAAATTATCAATCGCCATAATCACCAAAACTGCACTTCATTAATCCCAAAAAACAAATATGTACGTACTTCGCCATTTATGATTTGTCCCCAATTTATGACCTGATGAAGGTATCTGTATGTGCCGAAAGCTTGTCAATAAACTCAATTTCAAAAATATGTCCTCCAACGCCGATCAATCAAATTATAGAAATACATATTCTTATTTTTAAGATTTTTGGTGTCAGGGAAATTTATGCAGTAGACACATTTGTGTGTTCCGTCGTCAACGGAAAATAAAGTATTAGACAAATGTACATATGTACTTCGTCGTTAAGAGGTTAATGGCATATGTACAAGTAATGGAGCGCAGTTAATGTCGAAAGAGATTTTAATACATTCCACATATCATTTTGTTACCCCTAAAATATGTAGATGAGGATTTAAATATGTTATTCTAATCTTAAAGTTAACTCACATTCTTAACTCCTTTATACAAAAATCCATACAGCACCAACTTTCCAGAAAACCAGATGAAGACCGAGACAAAGAGAAATAGGGCTAGAAGTAAGTAAACGGTACACAGTAAATAATTCCATAACCGAGGTCCACCTCTGTCAAACTATGTATAAGCAAATTACATACGTTTCCAGTGTTTCCACTCAAAATGTACGGAACACAGAACGATTTGTATAGTTGTTCCAAGAACGAAGAAGGCTGTTAGGAGCTGTAATTTCAATAAATCATGTTGATGTAAATGACATAAGTTTTATACTAAAATTTGAACTACAAATTGGATAAAGATTGGGCAAACAATGTAATTAAGTTATTTTATCTGTATTATGTACACTTTTAGAAATGGATTTACGATTATAACCAAAAAGTAAACGAATGTGACTCTACCGCCGTGGTTATAAATTTGTCATCAAGTCTTTACAATTGTCACCGACCAATTATGCAGTTTCACCAACTTGGTATTAAATTGTCACCAGAGCTGATATATTTATAACCCATATTGTGACAAATTTATTACCATGGCGGTAGAGTCACATACGTTTACTTTTGGGTTATAATCGGAACCCCATTTCTAAGAGTGTACTGTATTTCTTACCATTTGCAAAATTATGATTGATTTTGCCCCAATGCTAATTGAACATCCACAACAGCATGGATTAATTTCGCGAAAAAACTTGCCCACCTTCCTGGCATAGGATTGCGTGGCAGGCGACGTTTCGATGTAGGACGGCATGTTAAAGTTGTAAAATATTTTTTAGTGGAATTTAGAAATATAGCTATTTGCAACTTACAATGCGATGGTGTGAAGTGTAACCCTCCGATTTGGCTGAAATTTTGAAATTAGGTGGTCCAAGTCAATACAACTAACGTTTCTTCAGCCAGTTTGTGCGATGGTTGGAGTTACTCAAAATATTTGAGATCAAAGTTGAAAAAACGGCCGACTTTTTTCAGGCAGAGTGAAAAAACTCCACTTCCATTCTCTTCCCCTCGCATTGACTTTCACTCCGAAAAATAATTCATTTCATCAATTTTAAATTTAATTTATTATAGAAAAACATTAATTATTCATTGCACATGGGTCTTGGTCTTTGTTTTCAAATGAATTGGAAATCAGAATAACCAACGATTTCGAAATGGAAAGTAAGTTAAGTTTTTCCATGTTTATTTACGGTTAATGAATTTATAAATTAATGTCTGTATGAATTTTTAGTGCAAAGAAGTAAAAATCTCACTTATTCAATTATGAATTAAATTAAGCGAATGTGAGGCGTGTTAATTCCGAGTTAATAATGTTTTATTTTGGTTATTTTGCATCACTGCTTATGCTTGTGTATGAAGGCATATATGTGAGTGAGAAACCAGAATAAAATCAATGCGAGGGGATGCGAATGGGAGTGGAGTTTTTTCACTCCGCCTGAAAAAAGTCGGCTGTTTTTTCAACTTCGACCTCAAATATTTTGAGGAACTCCAACCATCGCACAAACTGGCTGAAGAAACGCTAGTTGTATTGACTTGGACCACCTAATTTCAAAATTTCAGGCAAATCGGAGGGTTACACTTCACACCATCGCATTGTTAGCAGTTTACTAATAGGACCGAGTTGGGCAGTGTTCTAGGAAGGAATGAGGTCAAGTTGGAAAAATGAAGGTTATTTGAACCCTGGACTGGTTAGGGCTGTTTCAGTATAGGCAGAACAACCCTTTATCTGTAAGAAGGGTCTCCATGGGCTTAAATATTAGTTTTAAGCAGACGGCGGATATGCATGCATTTATAACCTCTTCATACCAAACCAGGCCGCACTAAAAGTTCATGCACGTTCATCCCATCTAAGCACGATCGCAAAAATTCAAACATAGTTTTCTATATTTTACATATTTTAGGGCTTTCGTACATATGACATATTTCTATACATATTTTGAGAATTTTTCAAAATATGCATAGTTTAATATATATATCGAAGTTTTTTATGTATAAATTTGAATTTTTGTTCATTCAAAAATGAAATTTCCTCAAAATTATAGTTCATAAATATAGTAGAAAATTCAAGTTGAAAAACATTTTTAATGTGCATATTTTCAGGTTTTTTATGCACATATTTCATACATATTTTGCGGAATTTACACACATACTTACATAACCGCCCTGTGGTTTAGGAGTGACCCTTTTAAGAGGTTGAGATTTGAAAGGGTAGCATGACAGTTACAAGCATCCCTTAGTAAGCGAGTAATCCTTCCTTCAATTGTATATACATGTATATAAATAAAACTTATGTATTCGAAGTAAACGAGGAAGTATTCCACTACACAGACCATACTCAATTTGTAACATACGTATGTATTCAGTAGGTGGGACACTTATTTGGAGAAATGAACTCTTGAACTTTTGAACTCTCGCGCAACAATAACGGCACGACGAAAACAAACAGGTTTGCACTATTTTATAGATAAACTATTCAGTTAAAATTCTGACTTATTAAGATAAATATATACAATGAAATAGTGATTTTTTCGCGCTCTAACGATTTTCAAGTTAGATACCTTAAGAGTTGCGTAAAATTGAGTAGATCAAAAATCCGTAACAAAATTGGGGTGGTCGTTGGATGGTTTTCGAGATAAATGCCAAAATGTGCGAATTTTTTGCTAATTTTGAAATATTCAAGTTTTGACCAAACCTATTACTTTGATACGGCTCGAAATAATTTTAAAAATTATTTTGGACCAGAATTTGGCCGCCGCCTCGATTTCGGAACCCTATTTTCCGATATATTGAGTTTTGCAAAATAATTGCAATTTCCATATTATCTTTCCACGATGGAATTACGGTATTTATTAAAGGTTGTTAGCGTATTGTTTAATTATACCTAAGAGTTATTAACATGTTTTGCCAAAAAAGTTGCATTATTCGAAATTCAAATTTCGAATATTACATATATATATAATATTACAACGTGTTCTTTGGATGACATTTAACTTATCAGGAATATTGAAGGCAACACAAAATTTTAGTAATTCGGAATTTTGTTAACCACGCAAGATGTTGTTAATGCCGGGTTGACTTGTTTCTACATACAACTACATATTTGCATATTCATAATCATATTCAGAATCATATTCAAACAAAATAAATATCTGTAATGCAAACATTCTTAAAACCGTAATGTATTGGATACCGTAATTGCAACACTAAAGCGGGCCACATTCTTCGTATGGTTGGGACTCCTCATCCCAATCTGGTTTTTCAATTATTGTAGTTAGAATTATTCCTAAATAATTATTACTAATCTACGGTCATAACTACTGTTTAAAGTTGAAACGATGTTTATCTAATCACATACTCAAACTAGAAGGTCAACAACAAGTTAATCGTATAGTCCAGTATGTTCCACATAACTCCCGTTTTCCACTCTTTCGTCGCCTTTCCAAATGGACCCACAATAATTCCCACCCTCCCAAGTGAGCGAACCAGCCTCCTCTCATACTTCGAGTAGCACCTACTCCTCAAATATTCTAGGAAACTGACCGATTCCTCATAAACACTTGTCGTCTCCGGCCAAATATTAATCATGACGCCCAACGAGACCAAACTTGTCATTGGAAATATCCAATAAATCGACCAAGCAACTCTCTCCGGTAACCTTATAGCTAAGAAGGTCGTAAAAATTGTGATACCCGCACCAAAAAATATTTGCGTGGGTACCGTAAAATAGCAAATATATTCATTGTAGAAGTCGTTCCAAAGCTGGAGTTCCTTATAAATCGTGATAACTCGCGTTTCTGACCCGTCCCAATTTTTTTCTAACACCTTTTTGCAACGTGCCAGTATTTCTCTGGTTGCCCCCAAAATTATGAGGGCAACTATTCTGAAGGCTTGATTCGATTTCAGCAGCTCTCCCACTACCAAGAACGGTATGAAGGTGCGTAAGAAAAAAGAAAGGATAAATTTTAGTCGAGACGAATGCCAAATTGCGACTGGAAACCAGACACCGAATGGATCAACGTTCATCCAGATTAAAATTGGAGTGACCAAGAAGTGACTTGAAAGGCAATCAATCCACTCGTCGGCACACAGACGGGTAAAGTAACGACTGTGAAAAACATGACAAGAATTCGTAGAGTATTGGGCATCGCGTCATCCGTACTTGCGTGCTGAGAATAAAGTGTATCAAAAAGGAGTGCGGACGTCGCCAGACCGCAAACCATCAGATGAACGGATGAAAACTTGATGATGAAATTTTTTAGTGGGGAACACTTTTTGACCAAGATTTTTCTGTGGCAGGGTGAAATCCCGAATGGGATAAAGGCTCGAAATACGAGTGCGTACTTAGCCAGTACTTCCCATAATCCGGGTGAAAGTAATTCACTTTCGATAGAAAGACGTTTTCGTGGCAAAACAGGAATTTTTATATTGGCAGGCATTGCTAATTATGTATGTCCCGAAATTTTGGACGTATTGTTGGATATTTAGAATAGGAATTTCTGTGATAGCTTGGTCGTAGATTAAATACACAAAAGTATTGCAGTCGCATAAACTTGGGAAGGTTTTAAATACATTCAATATTTCATTGATTAACTTATAATAATTTTGCCTACATTCGTATGTATTCAATTTGAAAATTTCCAAGCATTGCGGCTAATTAGATTAAACGAGCATTCGATAAATCGAATAAATACGAAGAACAGGACGTCCTTGTGCATGTGAAATGTGCAAGAAAATTATATTTGCCACTTGAAATGTCAATTCTGATTTAATAAAAGCATTCAACTTTTCCCTTTTCAAGAATGGAACACAAACTGTAGGATATTCATAAGCATATAACACAAATATATGTTTCGCTCAATGCGTATAAATTTTATAAGATATGAGTGGGGATGATTAATTATTGATATCAATAAGAAATTTATTTCAAGATAAATTCTTAGTGATTCCCAACCGTGCTATTATATACCGCTCTACCACGATTTATCACCGAATGTTAAAAATTATTTCTGCGAAATTTAAATTTGTTACAACCCAGTAACGGAATGAATGCCACAATGTGATCGACTTAAACTTGGAGAAAAATCTGCAAACCTTTTTGGCCACAAATCCTAACCACCGTGATAGAGCAGTATAGTCACTCGACATAGTATCAATAAGAATTTTAGTACCTACATATATGTGTTACCTGATACCGCGGAAGTTGGTCTTGTCAACGAAATTATGATACTCTAATATAATTTACTACATATGTAAAATGACAATTTTTCTCTCAATGGTTAACATTGTCTTTTGAGCATTATTAAACAAGCCCTTTTTCGTAATCAGCGACTTGACTCAAATGCAAAGTGAAGTACCTCAAATCTTGACTCGTATTATTGTCCAGAGGACATAAATTCCACCATAGATAAATAATTAACCACATATTTCAGGATTTTTCATAACGCTCAGTTTAAACGAAATTATGATTGATAGAATCGGTGAGCGAGAATTCCATTTTGACCGTGTTTCTCGCGAGGGAGAAAAATTCCCGCTTGTGGATTCCGTTTTAATATAAAATTCGTAGGCACAAAGTGATTTTCTGAAATTTTATAAATTGCTGACCGAAATAATTATACCCGCATTTTTGCGTTTTAAAAAAGGCGCGTGTTTTCAGTTGTGGCGGAAGTTTAAAATACATCTTTAACCAAAATAATGCATTCAAAAAGTTGTAACTTTTTCAATTTTAAAGCTATTTCAAAAATGAGGGAACATGCTTGCACAAAGTTACTTCCATAAAATTATCAAAATGCGTTTCTAATAAAAATCTAGACTTCATAATTTTACGAAAGCGTTGAACCAGGTAAATTCACGTCAAGCGTCCTTAAGTTTACACATGATATTCAGTTGGGTTATAAACTTGACGTGAAATGCCCCAGAGATAAATTGTATGTAAATTGTAAACTCTAAACTGACAGAAATTCTACCCTTACTGTACCATATTTTATGGTTTATGGTAACGGTAAATGTGAAACTTTCCCATCTATAAATTCCCCTTTAGAGGAACGTACTTTCTAATAATATCTGTATTTTTAGCCTTTGTCATGAAAAGTTAGAGTGGCGGACTACAGGAGTAAATTTCTGATTGACAGACAGTTTGGCGAAAGCAGATTTGGCGAAAATAATTTTTCGACAAAATGGCAAGAAAATAATCATGAAAGTACGGGATGGCGAAATTTTTGTCGCATTTGGCGAAAATGAAAAACAGTTAAAATTACATTTGATAACATAAATCTCATTTCTTCCTGTTAAATACCTCAAAATTAAAATAAGTTCTTATAGATTTAGACCATTTTACAGCCAATTATGCCTAGGAATTAAGAATCCGCCATAACTAGCCATGAAAGATTTGTTTTGCTTGTAGACTCGATAAGTTCATCCATGAGTATTATTGGAACTAGATGAAATTGACAGCAAAAGCATAATCATTTAAATATATTAAATAAAATTACTTGTTACCTATCTATTATAAATCAGTTTTAGTTTAGCTCCAAATTGGATTTTATTTTGGCGAATTATTTTTCGCCAGAGGGTTTTCACTAGAATCGCCACACTGTCCAACTTCCAAATTTCTTACGAAGTTTATGCTGCATTTATGATTTACGGCAGATACATATGTACATCCAGCCCAAAAGACGCGAGACAATAAAATCCTCAGTCCAAATTTACCCTTCAACCATGGATCACCTCGTCACTCTCGTCCTCACCGTGCTGGACTATCTCATCATAGCTTGGGATTTTGTCACCTACTGCATTCTCGTCCCGTTTACTCCTCTGATCAAAATCTTCATCGATTGGTTTTTTAGAACGCAGCTGAACATTAAAGTAGGAGGCGATGTTGCCTGGGATATCCAAGCATATAATTGGCGCTGTTATCCGATCGGGTTGTCACGTGGCCTTGTTGGAGTGGCGGAGTGTTGGATGAACGGCTGGATTACAGTTAGCAACTTGGAGTTGCTGTTCACCAAATTTCTGGAGAATAAGGGACCCCTGAAACTAAAATATATCGAACCTGGCTCATCCTTCTTGCTTTATCGTGTCAGGTGGAATTGGTTCAATATTCAGACACCAAAGCGGGCAAAGTTGTTTTGTAAAATGTCGTATAACTTGGGTATGAAAAAATGAGCGAAGAAATCGGAAAATTTGATTTTTGAAATCTATATTATAAGCTGGAAATGTTTGTCTGCAACGGGATTGAAAGTAATTTTCCGTGACGAAAGTGAAAGTAAAGAATGTCAATTTCCGAATGGCGCGAAAATTCGGTACGAAATTTAATTCAAAACACTAAATATCTTATGATAGTTATCTTGTGAGTGGTTATCTGATGGTGGTTATCTACGACTAGTTGACTCTCCTGGAAGCTTGATTTTTTACTTTCACTTCCTCGGCCGACAGACATTTCCAGCTTGTAATTCTCGCTCGCCCTGCAGAGACGGGCGTATACGCTAGTTTATTTATGTAGGAATAATATCTTTTTGTAGGGCCCGATTTTTTCAAAACGTTCCTCGACTCATCGCTCCTCTTCTCGGTGTCTTACTACGGCCGTGGCGCGGCCAACATAGAGGACTCCCAACACCATAAAATGGAACTAACCGCGGAAAAGCTGCAACTCAAGGCGGGCATGCGCGTTCTGGATTTAGGCTGCGGATTTGGCGGATTGAGTCGCTATCTTGCTAAAAACTTTGACATCCAAGTCGTCGGGGTAACGAATTCTTCATCCATGGCGGCCTACGCGCGGGACATTTGTTACGGATTACCCGTGGAAATTAGAGAGATTGATTGGCGTGAAATTTCCGAAGAAAAAGCATTCGATAGAATTGTAGGGATTGAAATATTGTTCCATATCGGATCTCACAATTTGGAAGCATTTTTCAAAAAGTTGTTCAATTTATTAAAACCCAATGGAATTTTGGTACTGCAAGATTTTTCTGTCAAAAAAGATGCCGCACATAGTTTAAATTTTTTGCAAAAATTTGTCTTTCCAGGTCACTACATGTTCAGTTTAGCACAAATTTTCGCCATTTCTGAGAAGTATTTTAGTTTAGAAGAGTACCTGGATATGAGCAGAGATATGGCGAGGTTTTATAGGGAAGCGTTGCACCTCTTGAGGCGAAATTGGGACACGATTTCGGATAAGTATGATGCGCGTGTGTTTAAAATTTATGAGATTTTCTTCGCCGCCGCATCCGTGGATGAGGGGAGAGGCTTGTTCAGTGCGCAGCAAATGGTGTTTCAAAAATTGAGGAAATCCTTGTAAATGCATGATTTGTGTAATCTGAAATAAATATTGCTTGAAAATTGTAAAATATGTTCTTGTTTGCGACAAGAGTTGGCTAAGTGGACGGTGAAATTTGCTATGCTCCGGATAATTGAAAAATTTGCGGTGTAGCCATCAGGGCCATACATATTTATGTATAAAAATAAGTACTTGCTTTTACCCCTAACTTTCCTTCCTATTTTATTTTTGTTCCCAGGAAATTTTGAAGTATCCAAGCTTAATTACATATATTTATTCCATGACACAAGTATTTAATATTTCGGTTGTAATAATTGCACTGTTTTTTTTATTTCGTAAAGAGGGTTTGGCACACCCTTTTGAACTGAATTCGTGATCAGTCGAGTTCTTCGCTCAATAGGATGGGTTGCAATTTTTCCAAGATTTCCAGCACCTGCAATTATTGTAAAACTATGTAGGCATACAAAAAAAAGGAAATCCTTTCACATACCGTTGGATCACCACTTTGTTGAGAAAAAGGTGGCATTAGTTCCACGATTTGGGGTACCTGAATTGGGGATGATAGTCGTTGTATAACACTTACAATGCGATGATGTGAAGTGTAACTCTAGGTTCGGTCAAAATTTTAAAATTATGTGGTCCAAGTAAAATAAAATCAACGTTTTTTAAGGCAGTTTGTGCGATGGTTGGACTTATTCAAAATATTTGGGGTCAAAGTTAAAAAACTTGGCGATTCTTAGTAATCGGAGGAAGCAAGCCCGATTGTCATTCCTACCAAAGTTAAAAATTTCCAATTTATTCAACTTTGACCACAAATATTTTAATGAATTCCGACCATAGCATAAACTGCCTCAATTGTATTGACTTGAACCACATAATTTTAAAATTTCAACCGAGGGTTACACTTTACACCATCGTATTCTTAAAAGCCGTATTAATTACTCACGTCTTTATCCCCAGAGAATTTCAGGCTTCTAAGTCCCGCACTGTACAAGATCATGTCTGGAATGTGTGGAGACAAATCGTTTCATGTGTGGGCAAGAAAATGCAAGTGGACACGTTTAACCCCTAAACATGCATATTAGAGACTCAGAATCGAACCATTTTTCAACCTACACGGAGATTGTCTAGAGTTCATATATTTTTTAATAAGGCCAGAAATTAGAATTGTCTGACACTAATCTTCCAGTTCCCTCTTTGAAAATAAATAGTGCCGGTAAAGTTCAAGCCACATAAGATTAAAATCAAAATATGATATTTTGGCGCCAATATTTTTCTTCTTCAGAAGGTTGATTGACCGGAATTCAAGCTCGCAAGACGATTCCGGTGTAGCTTGAAATAAGTTATACAGTCGGTGAACACGTTTCTGTAGTTTTTTAATTCACTCAAATTCGATGGTAATAAACGCTGCCAGCCAAATGTATGTAGCAAAGGCGTGAAACGATACGGTTACAAGGTCATGACACTTAGAAACTATGTCGATGTTTGAAATCACTGCCAAAAACTACGTTTATAAAGCTGTTAACCAAAAAATTCGACATCTTTCTCCGCGTAGGGGGCGTACATAAATTATGTGACGCAAGACGGGGGAGGGGGGTCCAAGACTCCAATGATATCGTGCATGTAACACATGTCAAAGGGCGGGGGGTCTAGAAAATAACGATTTTTGCGTTGCGTAATTTATGTACGATCCCTTATCTAATGACCGTGACCTTATGCCCGACAATCGCCGATATTAGAACTCATCCGTACTTCAAAACTTAGTTCGAGAAAACCGCATGACGAAGCTCGAATCCGTTCTAAATTTGATCGTTGATACGGATGAACAGACCGACAAGACACTTCCATGAAAGGGTTCCGCTTCCCTTCAGCCGGGTAATTAACGCACATTGTTCGTTTGAATTTGTAGTTGATACAATGTAACCTGTTATATTGTTAAATCATGCTGAGAATTACCTTGTAATTCTATGGGCCATGAGCCTTGTAAGAATTATTCATTGAATAAATTATTATTATATTATTATATTATAATGCACATTACGGCATATAATTTGTGCAAAACAATTACACCCGTTTTCGTAAGCATTTCCGTAAAACAAAAAATCCAATTTTGCGCCTTGGGGCGCCAAATTTCTTTGCCCAGGTAATATTTTGGGCTAGATCGGGGCCTGAACAGAGGTCAAAATATTTTGAGCCTGTCTCTAGTTTACTCGGGTATTCTGCACTTTTGGTACATAATTGTATAGAAATGAAATAATGGATCTATAGATCCATAGGGTTTAAATTATTCTGCACCTTTGGTGGACAATTAAAATTACAAATTTACCAAGTTAAAACTTAAAATTACCAAATTACAAAAGTCATTACATATCACAGGGTGAGCTACTTCTAACGTTACTACGGTTTATTTTAATTTTCAGACTTACCTTTCCACAGCGATACATTTTTTAGGATGGCGACCGTGAGAGCTGGATTGCCCTCAGATTCCACGTCAACGTCTACCTGATCCAGTTCCCACATTTGGAACGGTTGCATCATTTGATTTATGTCGAGAATTGAAATCCAATTGTAAGGAAACTTTATCTGTATCTCGAATTTCCTAACGTTGGGAAATAATTGGATGATACTTTCTGCCAGTTCGTCCTGCCAGCAATTCTTAGAAAGTTCCACCGCGAGCGTAACTCCTCTGTGTCGCTGCCACATAACGAGATGATTTGGCAAACTCGTGGCACTGTACAAGTTTCGGAACGCTAACTTCTCCAGTGCTGGGAGATAAATCTCGTTAAAAAAGTCGGGGATTGGGTACCCCACAAATGGGTGGATGGCGAGTGACGTAAGCTTCGACATGATAGGGACGCTCATATTTTGGCTCTAGGATACATAATTGCACATAAAAATTGGTATATATTAAATTTCTAAAGGTAAATTTGTAAAATTGAATAAAATGTATGATTCTGAAAAGTCTGGCAAATTTCAATTTTACAGTTTTAGCCCGGACCAGGGCTTATGCAATTGTCATGTACGTCTGTCTTTCGATGACTCTCGAACGAGTTGACCGACCGATTGACTTGAAATTTTTACCAGGTGCATACTGGACAAACTTAGGAAACAAGTTCGAAGATGGGTGAAATTGGTCCAGTGGGTCATCGAAGTGGGTGTGATATTATGCAACAAAATTTCAAAATTGTCGTAGAAAGCTGAAGTTTTGCATAGGGCTTGTTAATGGCTCATATAGTGGAAGTATATGAATTCAAAGTGAAAAAAAAAATTCGTCTAAAGGGACCCGAAGGGTCAACCCATCGTGATTTTTCAAAATCGTCGTATCAAAAAAAAACTTGCATCCAAGTTGCTTATGGCTGTTGGTGGAAGATTATGAGTTGAAATTGAAAACAATTTGATACAATCAGTTGAAATTTAGAATAGAGCCGAAAAATAACTTATTATTAGCATATTGGAGGGTTGAATTTAGAATTTTTTATATTGGCGACCTCACTGGTAACAAGAAGTAGTCAAAGGCAAAGGGATAGTAAATATTTTTTGAATTTGGAGCCAAGTAATACCAAGAATTGATTCTGCTTCTGATTGATTCTGAAAAATTATTGCAAAATAGTAGCACACAATTTTACAGAAAATTATTGACAAACATGGATTTCCTGGTTCGGGCTAAGCAAAGCTGTACTGATAGGTTTTTAAATTTAATTAAGGCACTGGAAATTCAAGTTATGCGATTTCAATACATTTCGCAGTGTGATTTCAATTAAAAGTCTGGTGGATAAAACATAACCCATTCATTAACGATTATGCAACGTCATAATTAAATACATGGCCCTGTTTTCTTTGTTAATGATATCAAAGGGCAGAAATACTCAATAAAATTATACAATATTGTCATTTGACAAATATACATCCTCAAATATATCGAAACAAAACTTTCAAATTTACATTTTGACCACACCCCCTGGTGGTGGGTGTGCCGGTAATGTCCCAATGTTATTATTGAATTGTATAAAGTTTGATGAGACCTTTCGCATGATACCCCACTTGATGGGGTAACGCAAGAAAATAATAATTTGCCCTTGACCACACCCCCAACGGGGTGTGGCTATCAGTGAATCTTCCATAGCTTATATCTTTCGAACTTTATATCTCGATTTCCGAATACAGTATTCGAAAAAATTAATTGGTTCAAAAGTTATAGGTTTTTGCAAGCAAATAAGCTAATCCGGACCAGTGTGCAATAGAGTTATTAGTGATAAAATAAAAATTCTATATTCGAAATTGGCCGAGAATTTAAATTTTTCGAAAAAAATTAAAACTCTTTCCATTTGAAACACTGGATGTCACGTAATTTTGGGAAGGTTTACCTCAACTTGAAAGTTGTTGTAGGCACCACAAACCAAATTCGAAAATTCGAAAAATTTTAATTTTTGCCATCTTCTAATGACAACTTCAAAACGCTATAACTTTTTGCACCCTGTCGTCTGCAACCCAAATTTCACAAATTCTAATGCCATCTTAAATTTCTTAACCACCATAAAAAAATTAGGTTCCAGACGACAGGGTGCAAAATGTTATGTTGATTTTTCTGAGACAGATTAATATATGTAAGCTTATGGATGGGAATATTCCCAAATCATCGAAAAACAAGAGGCGTAAACAAAACTTGAGAAGTGACGAAATTCAAATTCACATCTATCAAGACTTATTTTTAACATTGAGTTAAAAAAATGTAAATAAAAAAATGTAGCCTTGACCGTCTTGACATTCGAAAAACGAGGCCGTGCTACGCCCTCTTCTGGTGAGCATCACCATCAGTAGTGTCGCTCGGAGTGGAGAGACAACGTCTCCGCTCTCATGACTCTCTCTCGATCGTGAATATTGATGTGGACAGAGTCTTTATCAGAGCGATGATACAGTTCACTCTCGCTTATGCAGTAACTTTACAGGACGCCTAAATTTAAACTATTCAGTCATTGTTCAATATATTTATGAATAATGTTTTTGATTTCGTTTTCACAACGAGCTAATGCATAAATAATTCATTTTTACCTGCAGCCAACTACGCAAATAAGTTTTCCAACCTAGCTCCGCCTCTGTCAAGGAATCCTTAACTTGCCTCAGCAGCGCGGTCGTGTTATCAACAGTGATGGTATCGTTAAAATGATTTTCCAAGATGAATTTAAGCGATTTGAGGTTTCTGCACCTCTCCAGATCCGGAAAGGATGACGCGAAAACGTCCAAAATGGTTAAATTTGGTGCCGAATCGAGCAATCTTTGAAGAACTGGATGGAACTCGCAGGTGTTTAAAAGCCCAAATGACTGGATCTTAATCTTGGTCAAATTAGGGTGGTCCGCAAGTTTTTGAGGTACTTTTTGAATCTCCACACGCTTGATACTTCTCCAATTTAAGGCGGACGTACTGGATTTCCTTGGATTCCACCATTCTTAACCCATTCGTAATGACTTCGACTCCCTGGTATTCTTGGCCGAATAATTTAGTCCCATCGTAGAATTTGAGGCGTCGGACGAGTTTCTCGTTGATGAGAGGAGTCGACAGGCATAATTTTGATCCGCTGTTGTAATAAACAAGCTCGTTGACGTTAAAATATGAACGATTTCCTAGTAAGGCGGCGCCATGATCGGCCCAGGCATGGCTGACGAGACGACAGGACTTCAAATCAGGTACATTAAGGTTGTGGAAGATTTTGTCGAGAATCTGGTAGAAATGGAGAATTATTAGAGAAAAGAAATAAATTATGTACAAATGGAGACGGCAGGGTGCGGAAAAAACGAGGTTTCTCTGGAAAAACCCAAACCCCAAGGTTTTTGTGGGATTTATGTAGTAGATTATGGGGCGGGTTGAAACAAAACTTCCAAAATTAAATATTAAAGTAAAGTTAGTTCAACATACCTACTAGCGTTAAATTTTCAGTATTTTCATTGACTTTGAATTTTAAATCAACAGTTCAGGTTTAACAAGTAAATCGGAAATGAAACCAGAAACATGGAATGATACATACATACATACATAATATTGTCTGTATATTATACAGATAATTCATGCATATTATACATACATATATACTTGGAAATTCAAGCCGCACATAAAACTTTTAAAATTTCAAGCTGAATCCGAAAATTCTATTTTCACTTATCTAATTTGCAGAATCTTGTTTCAATTTGCCCCCAAAATCTTACAAAAGCCCGGGAAAACCAAACCCGGGATAGCGAACCCTGCCCAATTCGTGCCGACTCACCAAGGGGTTCATCAAAGCCTTCGACATTGCGCTGGTTGTCGCTACTACGTTGTCATTGGAAACTAGAATTATTAAGAAAGCGAGTGAAGTATGTAAGCAATCGTATTATTATACCGTAAATACTCTATCTATAGCCGGGTCTTGAGCCCAAGTTTTAAAAAAATAATACGTTTGTCTACTATTATGGCATTCGTTTGATGTCTTTCCTTAAATGCTTGAAGTCATGTAAATATAACCAAAACAAATTTAGCCGGGTCTCCCATCATATCCGGTTTGTAATTATAGCCGGATCTGTGCGAACTTTAGACCCGGCTATAAATAGAGTATTTACGGTAATCATTATGAATAGTAAACTATGTAGCAAAGTGTAACAATTTTTTGTAGTAAATTACTATGATCGGCAGGAATCTTTCCTTTTCGTGTTGAAGATGTCGTCGAGCCCATCCTGCTTGCCCTTAAACCTCGGGCTAATAAATAAATTTAAAAAATATTATACTTGACTTTGACTTATAGCTCAACAGAGCAACATCGTCTTTGGAAACTCTAACGATTTAAATCGTTTAAGTTTCAATTCTGTAAGTACAAATGTATGCCGTTTACGATTTTTATGGCAGAGAAATGGACCCACAGTGGTATGGAGATACTTACGGACACAGTAATCTTATAACCAGGTTATAGATAAGAAAAATTATGTATTGCCACTTAATTCAACTTACATACACCTTCCAATTTTTCTCAACAAGACAACCACGTATGTTTCGTTATGATCTTTACTTTTATCAAAGATTCGTGCTAGGGAGGGTCACTTACAATCGCACAAGTGCTTATACATCGAAATTTGGCAAATATGCTGTATGTGCTTCGTGTTGGGTTTGCAAACAAAATGAGTTAGCCACAGGAATGAGAGGCTGATTCACAAGCTCTTGAATTATGCTGATAACGTGCAGATCGACGAAGCTTAGCAGAGTTGCGTCAGCCGATTTAACAGATTACACGAACATATAAACGTCCGCTTTGCGGATGTTGAGAATGACTTGACTCGATTATTGGAACCCCCATTACACAAATAATAGTGGGCTATCCTATGCAAGCTGTGAGTACTGTCACTGCTTATCTCTAACTGATAACGAGTGAGGCGACCAGGTCCTCATTTCCTTCATGTCTGTTCAGTTTAGGGATTTGATTATATATATTTTATAGATATAGCATACATACCTATGCATATAGGTTTATACTCTGTGGAAAAACTATACAATTCAGAATAACAGTAACTTGGTAAAGAGTTAAGTGTACTTTTGATTTATATAGTTTAGTAAATTTAGAATTTTGACTACATTAAATTTTCAAAAGGGTTGCAATCAGAGGTCGACGTCGACAAATTTTCGGCGACGGCGGCGCCAGTTTTTGGTGATTTTTCGGCGGCGTCGGCGGCGTGGCGCGACGTCGCAATGTTCAAGGAATGGGAAATCAAATTTTTCGGCGGCGGCGGCGCGTAAATTCATCGGCGTATGGCGGCGCGTAAATTCATCGGCGTATGGCGGCGCGACTGCGTGAGACCGGCGGCGTGAGACCGGCGGCGTCGACCTCCGGTTGCAATATTTTTAGGACTGCAAGCATATCTACTAATCAGACTGACCCACTCCTTTCCCCTTGGTTACATTTTTACTGGCCGGAATCTTCATTTTAGGGGCCACTTCATGTCCCGCGATGGGACGATATCTCTTACTGACCATATTGGAGATCCCGGGTTTCTCCCCTTTTGGAACCTTCAGCCCTAACCGTCAACGGTTTGGCCCCTATCTTCGCAGCCGAGTAGTCTCCCAGACCATTCGATACAGGAACTAGGGCCATGTATAAACCTTGCTTCGCCGTTATTTTAGTCTCGCCCTTAATCGCACTAGCGATGTCGTGACCCATAGCGACGTAACCGTGAGGCTTGACTTTTTTCCCATTGATGGCTTGTCACTTCCTGTGTCAAGAAAAGGAACTAAATAAGGCGGGAAATTACAATTTTTTCAAAACGGGAAGGGCTGTACATTATGTCATCAATAGAAACGCTGATTGTTAAATGGCTTACCCAAACCTACCATAAACCTAGTTTAGTACAAATTTTCGCCATTTTTGAAAAGTATTTTAGTTTAGAATCGTACCTGGATATGAGCTGAGATATGGCTAGGTTTTTTAGGGAAGCGTTGCACCTCTTGAGGCGAAATTGGGACACGATTTCAGATAAGTATGATGACCGTGTGTTTAAAATTTATGAGATTTTCTTCGCCGCAGCATCCGTGGATGAGGGGAGAGGCTTGTTCAGTGCGGGGCAAATGGTGTTTCAAAAATTGTGGAAATCCTTGTAAATGCATGATTTGTGTAATATAATCGAGCATTTATAAATATTTGATGATTCTCTACAAATTAAAAAATTTGTACATATTACTTGTTTCGACAATTTGTTTTCCAAAGTTTAAACGAGAAATTTCGGGAAGACATCAAAAAGGGGTGGAGGTATTTAGGTAAGGATTACAACAAGGAAAAGATTGTGCACTTCTATCCAATCTGCCTTCCTAAATATGTACACCATGCTATAAGTCCATAAGGCCCCCAGGGTAATTGCCCCGCCAAAAAAGTTGATTTTATCATCACACGTTGACCATATTTAGCATCATCCTAAGATACTTGATTCTAATTTTTAAAATTGGTGGTGGATCTCGTTGTTGAATCATATAATTCTTACTCGTCAAATATCGTCACAACTTGACGAATAGTAATTTTTGCACGTAAATTCCTTCATTTTACGCCATAAGTCATATATTGTGCTCCTTTTGATATATGTGGGAATCCCGATAAGGAAATTCTTGTCAATTTTGCTATCATGGGATTCGTACCTTATTAGAGAAGTATGTATTGTACATGTTACTGCAATTTTTGAATCTCGTAATTTCTAAACTGCTGTATACCACCAGAAATTTGAAAATGGGATTAACTATTTGAACATAATTTACGTGATGGTTTTTATGCTTGACAAGGATGTCAGGGAAGCAACAAAACAATTTATATTAAGGGCTTAATAATTCGGGAATCAGGATTATGCGAAATCACCTCTTAATGCTTTAAATCGGCCCTCGTAAGTAGAATAAGATTCGTGCTAAAAAACGTAATGAAAATAATGCGAAATAGTCGAGCGAATGCCGGAAAAATAAAAAACATTTTTCAATTTATTTTAAAAAAACACTACAATTTTAATACATTTTGTAATGAAATCCAGATAATCCTAAGAAATTGAATGAGTATTCTAATACGAAACAAATCCATCACGACTTATTTATGCATAAAAATAAGTAATTTATCTTACCCCAAACTTTCCTTGCTGTATTATTTTTGTTCGTAGGAAATTTTTGAATTATAAACGCTTAATTATATTTATTTATTCTGATGGCACAAATGTTTAATATTTTGTTCGTAATAATTTGTGTCTGGTTTTTCGTATGTACAGTGATTGTTGCAGCGTAAAGTGAATATATGTAAAATGTTGCAATGTAAAGTAAAAATATGTATATGAGTTCATGATTAGGCATTGTATGCCACACAAATTTATTATTTGACTATTTGACTAATGTAAGAAAGTGAGTACGTGACTAAAGTTTAGAGAAGCTTCTAGAACAAGCAATCATCATCATCTTCAACAACCTTTTTCTCCGCAGCAAGGACGCGGAGAAGTCAGTCTACACTGAGAAGCCAACGCCGTAACATTGAACAGTGACTAGGCTCGTTCACTCCCTTATCAGTCAGGCAATGTTTCTGAAATAATTGTAGCGAATTGATAGGTCTAGAGTAATTGTTTTTATTTGTATTTGAACGGTTTTACGCGATTAATAACAGTATTTTAAGATATCCTTTTGCTTGTAGCTCGAATTCAGAGGTTTATATCCATTGGGGATCAATTCAGCGGATAGTTGCCAAGGGGCGTGTCAGCAGATTGTACACTGAGTTTAGATAGGCAGTTAGGGATATTCTTGATTACCTTTCGATTCCGCCATTCCGTATTAGGTACATAACCGTGAAGGGCCTTACATACAACCCCTACGAATCACCACCCTAAATAAACTCCATGTGGGGACTTTGATGCTAACTTCTTACTTGAAAGTTATCACGATTCATCGGATAGTTTCTTTCAACGGAAAATTATTCATTGGAGCATCGCCCCCACAGTGATTCTTTAAATTTCTTGTGCAAATATCGATGCTCGCTCGATCCTTAAATTACTTATAACATAGATCCTGCATTTAAATACTTGTGTTCCTACCTAGAATAATTCTACTGCCTATTCTTCCATTACTACCAATTCTACTTGGCATTTTCGTATGACGCTTGTATTTTTCTACACCTTCCATAAATATTGCCCAGATTAATCCAGCCCGTTTCGTGATATTTGCTCTATTGTATTTCATATATTAGCCTACCGCCACACAGAAACATGCCGCCAGACAGGTGACGAGTAGAATGAAAATGGTTTGAATGCTGTCGCCTAACCTGACCACGCAAAATGAGGTCGTTGGATGGCGAAATTTCTCGCGCTTTTCTAATTTGGCCTTCCTTTCGCGAAGTCTTGTCTCGTTCTGGGTATGCAGATCAGAAACCTTGTTGTAAATCCCTGAGCTTATAAACCATTTGAGGTATTGAAGCACCCGTGATTCCCGCCAAACCAGCAGGATAATTCCCGCCGGCACCTCAAAGATTGTTTTCTCCCCGCGATACCATTTTTTAGTGGGATAATTTTTCTTAAGGTATTCATAATAGGTGTCAATCTCACTCGACGGTCCGGCATAAGCTGACCTCTCACATTGCAAAAGTTCTTCCTCAATCATTCCATTTACTCCGGTAGTGCTTGTGTCATCATCGCCAGAAAGGTTAATATTCTCGAGGTACCAGCGAATCTTTGGATTCATCATGTAATACAATAATCGACGTAATTGGGGCGGGGTGTCATAATAATTTGAGGAATAAAAGTATTCCGTAAATTTATAATTTCCCAATCGATTCGATCTTCCCCAAGTTGTGTGGTACTCAGACAAAATTGTGTAGCAGAATCCGCCCAAACTCTTCGCCATTAGGGGAAATATATAATTATTCTCGTTCTTATCTTTCAGCGAGCGGTCTAAGCTATGAATTTTATCCAATCTATCCAAGACCATATCGTAATCTACCATTTTTTGAGGTTTCTCTTGACAAAATATTTGTTCATATGTATCGCCTCGTTCCCCTGGAAACGGTGAATTCAAATTTATTATGAAACTGCTAAGGTAGCAATTACTAATCACGACGGAGACCAATAGCCATGAAATACTTAATGGTTGAAGGGGCAGGAAATTACTCAATTTTTTCGGCGGCTTGTACACCTCGTCGATCAGGAGACCGAAAAAGTACAAGAATAGTCTTAGCGGGTATAATTCTTTGTTCAAAAGGTAAAATCCAAGCGAAAGCAGGCAAGTTGAGAACGAAAGCAGGAAAAATGTGACCATCCACACGATTGGATCGTAAGGAGCGAAATAGAGGGAAAATGAGACCCCTCTCGAAAACATGGAGCATGAGAAGAATGAGAGGCCGAGCATTCTTGTGATGACAATTTGGCTGTTATATTCGAACCTTCCTGGCCTCCATTCACTTTCATAGTTATACCTCGGGTAGAAACAGACTTTGTTGAATTCACCGTAGCAAGCGGGTTCTTTCATGCCAAACCAGTGCTCGCGATATCGGGTTGAATTAAGTTTATTGAATGCCAAAGCAATTAAGACTTTTGAGATTGGATTTTTAATATTAGTAAGGATCCATCGGTGCTCGTATATTGGCGGGTAGTTTAGCTGGGTGAACATAATTGTATCTTCACTCAAACGGGTAGTTGTGCAGTCGAAATTTTGTAAAATTGGAGCAAAACTTGTTTGGTGACAAGATGTCACCCTGTTTTCAGGGAGAAATAATAGCACTGCGAATTTGACGGGTAGTAGCAAGTCATACATTAATGGTTGCGAGTATAGAATCGATTTCGTGTGTGATTCCAGTATTTTGGGGCTACTTGGAACTAAGATGAAAGAAAAATAGTCTGGATATGGTTTCAATCGTTTCTCGTTAATTGTGAGATAGCGTTCGCCTTGAGTAGCAATCCAATAGCCTAAGGATTTTTCGTGGGATTCTGTATAATTTGGCGAATTTATGGTGACGAAGAAAATAACGATTTCGCAAAGCCAGCCTGGATTTCTGAGGATATCAAGTTCTAAGGGTAACTCGGTTCGTGGGTAGTTCCACAGAAGATTTGAATTGACCAGGAAGGGCCGTTTTTTAAGTGTTATTGGAACATTGCGGGTGGTTGGTAAGTTCGCCGTGGAAATATCGTTGAAGACGAGGTGATATCGACATGGGGTGTGGGGAGTTAGGACTGATGCCAAATTTATTGGCGGTGATGCCATACTGGGTTCGACAAAAATAAAATTTACAATGTACAACAAAACCGCGATGGTCGGATTAGATTGATATGATTTCGCCATTGTTGCGTACGGAGATAAATACTTATCAGTCAGTAGAAGTCACTTAGCAAGAATAAAGTTAGATATACAGATTGAGAAAAAATTCACCCTTTATGGACGGATAAGATAAGTTATAACTTCACTGAATGTGACATTTTAAGTGAGAAATATTAAGAAAAATAGGGCAAAGGCATCACTACGTGTTGAACTTTTGATATGGCACCAAAAATATAAATTTAGAATGTGGATATCGTGTCGGATTTGACTCCGTGGCAAAGAAATGCTGGAAGGAATACCAATCAAAAGCATATTTAGTAGCTCCAGGTCATTAAGTAGCTTAAGCTACATACTTTATGCGAAGACGTTGCCCGTCTGTCTGTCCGTCAGCAGGATAACTTTAGAATGGATCAGTATTTTTCAAATCAGGTTTCGGGTATCGACATCAAATTTTTGTGGGAAGGGTGAGTTCGAAGATGGAGCCAGAGCGGGATGAAGTGTGATCGAGATTTTTATTGAAATTAATTCTACAGATGAAATGCTGTGCTCCTGCTCGGTCGAGTGGGTGATGGGGGTGAAGTGAGGCTTCTGAAGCTACTTCGATATTTGTGTTGCAACGGTTTATTTAAAATCAAGGAAAACACGCTCCCTCAAATAGTTATGTACAATTAATACTAAGATGGTAAGTATGTGCACTGTTAAAAATCTGGTAGTCATATATACAAATTCAGTACAGGTATTGGTTTGGTTATAATTTCCTACCATATTTATAGTAGTTTGCTTCGAATAAATGGTAAATTTTCAATTACCGCAACATTACTTAAGGGTAATACCCGTTATTACTAGTCATATTTTGTACCTATGTACTCCGGCCAGTAATAATTTAACACCACTTTCTAATAGTGTATGTATGTACATGTCTTAATCAGCATAAATGCATCAAGTTTATATGTAAACATAAATACCGTAAAAACTCAAATAGTAGCCGTTGTTGAAATAGGAGCTGTGCTCAAACATGTAGTATCTAGCCGCGTGTCAATAGTAAATATCCTTGTCCAAATACATAGTAGCTGGGCCCTAGCCACGGATTTTGTAAATAGTATCCCCCGGCCAGTATTTATACACACGGTACTTTTCAAAGAATTTGGCTCTGCTTAGAGTTGAGCTTGTGCTGTCACTAGGACTCAAAATAGTTCGTGTTTACTTCGTACAGTTTACTTATGAATAATTTATGAAAGGTAGGATTAGTTGATGAAAAGACATGAAGCTTGTCGAGTCCTTAAATGATAAAGAAGTACGAAGAACTAATGCATATGCCTTTGTGAATATAATGAAAAGAAGCTGTCCAAACTGGATAGAAGTAGAAATGCTAATTTTTGTAGGGATGGATATCCAGGGATGTCTTGAATTTTTGAAGATGAAGCATCCCTAAACCACGCGGATTTGTAGAAATTCTACCAACACCCGGGCAACCTCCCCGAAAACCATGTATTTGAAACTAGTAGAGAAAAGGACAGGTTTTCTAATTATGTAAACTTAAAAATGAGTTCTTATAACGAATCAAAAAATATCGACCTTTTCCATTATAATGGCAAAGGTCAATAGGTCAAGTCTCGCATAACCCCATAATTGCATTATCATTGGAAACGTCTTGACGGGGGTTAAGAAATTGTGGTGTTAGGTACTATGCATGCAATTACATGTTATTAGGTATACGTTTGTCAAAAGTTCAAAATTTAAGACAAATTTCATCGTCAGATCGCGTCCGTCAGTAGCCGCTCTTTGATTTCACTATGTACATAGATATGTCTTTACAAAGAGCAGGTATGGGTATGTACTTAAATATGTGTTGACGTATCAATAAGAAATGAGACCTCTTTTCCAATTTTCTAAGGTATATGGCATGTGGATAAAAGTTTATTAGCGAACTCTACACATATGTAAAGCTTAATACAGAAGGACATCCTTAGGCACACACGTGGGTGATTGCTTGTATGTACATACATTTCCTATCCGTGCGTTGATTTATTTTTCGGCCCAAGCTTTCATGAATTTCTTCAAATCCTGAATGCTTAAGTCGGCTGTGTCGAGTAATCCAGAGTTTGATATTTCCTTTCTATTCACAACGGCAAAGTTCAAGGCAGCATCGCGCAGATTCTTCAAAGGACAGAATAGAAATTTCTTTAACGTGAATCACATTTAGTAATAAATATTTATGCAAATGAACTGCACCTGCGCGTCACACTCGCCAGCGGCCGTGTAAAGCGTGAATACATTTTCCAACGCCATCTGTTTCTGTAAAACTGATTCGCATTTTCTCTTAAGACCAGTGTCGCAATACGTGACAGCCAACTTCATCAAATATGTGGTAAATTAAAAAACCTGAATATTTTGATCACAATTTAGACAACGTTATGTAATAATTTTGAACCTAAAATGTTATCAACTTCGATATCCGAGAAGTAGATTTTGTCGGTGTAAAGGTAATACACCAATGCGTAGAAGGTGTCCCGTTTGATATTTTGCAATTCTATAGGGCTAAGATTAAGACGATTTATGAAAATTTAAATTAGCCGAATTAAAATATTAATCCTTAGTTACTAAAGCACCGACTTATCTTGTTGCTTCCAATCACGTGAAAATTTCCGTGAAATGTAATCACTTCGTAGGGTCAGTATGGCTTTGTGGACCCGGATCAGGTCCCCCTCCACTTTAAACTCCACGTCTGTTCCGGCTCCATCCTTAAATTATATTTTATCGTTTGTTGGTTAGCGTATCATTAAAGCGGACAAACACGCATGTCAGTAATAATAGCTTATAAATTGCATTATCTACTCTCTTACTATCGCATTTTCCAAAGTTTCGAGGACGGGGGTTTGGCGTCCCTCCTATTGTTGAATCACATTATAACGGTTTACTGTACTTTGGATTGAAGACAATAAAAATTTCTTGCTTACCCCAAACCAACTTAAATAAGACGAACCCGAATACGACAAGCCACAAGATGATCCTGACTGGGATTTTCTCCATTCTCGAGTCAGATGGTTATTGGAAGCTCTGCATAGTTTGTTGCACATAACGACTTGCACATAACTTGCTCTGTTCCTCCAAAGATAGCAGGTGGGTGTGGAAAAGTAGAAAAATTCGAGTCCAATTTTGTTGGACTAGTGAAAATGCCGTTTGGATAGATTTTACCCCAAACAAAAATTCCATTAGCAGACTTTGCGGAACTTTGGTCAGCCATGACTGAAATGTCATCTATAAAGCCTAAATTTGCGGACAACTTAGTTGGTACGGATAAGTTTGTAGTATTTCCAGTGCCCAGTTGTCCTTGTGCATTACAACCGCAAACATAGATCTGGCCAGATGTTGTCAATAATAGGGTGTGCTTATGTCCATTTGCAATCTATTAAAGCATTTTATAATTTTAAGATTCCATACTGCAACGTATAGAAATATCTATTAATTTGGTCACCTTTTTTATCAGTTTGTCAATAACTAATTTAGTCGGTACGTTTGCAGATGCGGTGTTAGCTATGCCTAATTGGCCCTCTTTGTTATATCCCCACGAGTAGACCTTGAAATAGAAGTTAATTGTGAATTTAAAGTTATTAAGTATCTTTATCCATGAAACCTTACATCTTCTGATTCGCTCAAGACGAACGAGGTGAATTCCCCGCAGGAGATTTGTTTCACTTTAATGTTCTGTAAATTTGTGGTAATTTTACAAGGTTTATTCAAATCGATGTCACTTCCCACGCCTAACGGATGCCCCCATGCAAAAACCTCTGCTGTATCCAATGACAAAGCGAGAGCATGACAAAGCCCCACCGAAATTTGAGCAATTTTGACCCCTTCATCAAACTTAAGTAGTGTTGGAGTAGATATTGTTTTGTCGTCCGTTCCAATCCCCAATAGGCCGTTGGAATTAATGCCCCACCCGAAGACTCGTCCATCCGCGGTTATCGCGAAACATTGATTTCCAGTATTCCCAAAGACGAATTCTGTCGAAATGAGCAAGCGCATTTTATCCGAGCTGTTTGAGTTTTATATTTACGCGAATATTATTCCGATTATTGCGTGAAAATGAGTAAAATATTCAATATGAGTTCAAATATTTAAAAAATTCCAGAAAATGTATGTACACCAATATTTCTGACTGTATTAACTCACCTTTAACGGTTTGTCCACATAGGGCGTTAATTTTTATGGGTGTTGAAGCTTGTTTTATGCTTCCAAGACCAAGTGAACCGTCAATGCCGGTACCGAACGCGCACACATTGTCATCTGTAGTTACAAGAAATCCAAATTGTTTGTGGGCATGGGCGACACGAACATTTTCCAAGAAGGAGTCGCCGATAGTGTTGAAAAGTTTCCATTTTCTAAGTTCCTTTAGGGGAATTGTTCTCTGGGTCAGTTTAAAAGTACTCAATTCGACTAGATCGCCCATAATCGCACTATTTGTGAGAAATATGGTTAATTTGACGATGTTAAATAATGGAATGATTTTAATCCTGAATACTCATATGATGGAAAAGAACGAAAGCATATTCAAGTTTGTGGTTACATCAGGCCAAAACGAAATGATAAGGTCGGTTTTATCTTATCATCATTACATATCATCATTATCAAAGCTTTACAAATTATTTATTTCACAGTGAAGAGTTTTATTTGCGAAGGGTGAACTGAAGTCTAATCTAAGCATGACGTGTGTGTATGTCAATGTCGAACACTACTTTAAGCAAGCCTTATTAAATTTTCGATTATTTTTAATTTAAAAAAAACACTGAATTTTTGTTCGCAAGTTAACACAGTAAATGATTACATTTTATTAAATAAACAAGAATAATTTGTTAGCAGAGTAATTTATTTGTGTTACAAAAATATAAAATGTATTACTTTGACTTGAGTGCATACTTTCCCACCACCCACCCGCACGGCAAGAGTAGACCTGCATACGGCAAAAATTGGAATTACACCTGCAGGTCGCTTTCGGCGACCTGCAAGTCCAACTTTCACTCGTCAATTAACAAACTAAAGTGCTTTCAGGCCGCATATCTTCGTCATAGAGTTTTTAGCTTCACTAAACCCTTGTTCCATGTCTTCAAGTCCAATTTCTAAAGTCCAAATCAATTTTGAGTAATTTTATTGTTAAACAATGGTGAATGAATTGGCTCAATTTTTTTCATAGACTTGTTTGTAAATAGTACCGAGAATTTGCTTTAGATTAATACATTAAAAGTTGTATTTATCTCAAGGCTCACATTTATCTCAACCGACTAATTTTAAATTTTTCGCTCACAGAAAAAAGCTGACCTATAAATATTTTTGCGATGTTTTGAATGTGCGTTTTTTGCCTGTGACGGAATTTTTAAGCATGCAAATTGTCCGTCAAAATCGAGAGGTTTTCAAGACGCTGTAACTTTCAAAATTTTAACCTGATTTGATAACTTGAACATGTATGCTCAGAATTACATGTAGTGATTTAGAAAAATTAATTTTCCAAAATTTCATTTTTTAGCTTTTAAAATTCCGAAGTATTTAGCATAAAAATTTAGAACTTTGAAAATTTTTGGAAGCGTATTTTTCTTATATGTAATAATACCTAGCGGAAAGAAATTTACTAACAATGTGATGGTGTGAAGTGTAAACTTCGGATTTGGTAGAAATTTTAAAATTATGTGGTCCAGGTCAATACAACCAACGTTTCTTGAGGCAGTTTGTATGTACGATGGTTGGAATTTGTTAAAATACAGAGGACGAGCCACTTAACTTGAGAAATTTTCAAACGCTGGCGCGAAAAAACTGACCTAAAGTTATATAAACCCGGCCTACACTGTTCGATAGACGAACTAATTAGGTCAAACTGTGATTTTTGCTACTTGAAAATCTGAAAAACTGCTCCTTCCTGATAATTTTAAGTGGCGGTACTAGTGAAAAAATTTTCCAGCCAAGGTTGCACCGGAAGTGTTATAAAAAAAACGGTCAATGCACGTGGATATGAAATTTCTGTGGCCTCAATTCATGGAATATTAAGTACAGAAAGCGTTAGAAGGCAAGCAATTAATCAGGTACTGCCTACACCACATATAAAACGCCCCCCATCATTATGGACAAAAAAGATAAAAACGAAGCTCAACCGTTTGATCGGCCAGGAAACCCCAAAGGGCATTCGCAGTACGGCGAAACTGCTAAAATTGAATCCCACAACTATTCGGAGAGTCATCAAAAGAGATTTGGCCAAAATGAAACCGATGAAAATAAGACGCATGAGTTAAACCTGCGTCACATCACTAATTGCAACTTTTTTGAAAGAAAATTTGTACAAGAACCACCTTGCTGGAGGTAGGTACGAATGTGTGATCACAATCGACGAAGCTTTGTTCAGAGTAGATGACCTGAACGGAACAAGGTCAATTTACTGTACGTCGTGGAGAAAATGTATGAACTAGCTACGACTTGAGATGGACTTTGGAAAAGTTTTCAGGACTAGTGGTTAAAAATAATTCTTCAAAAGTGTCTGGAATTGTTTTCGTCGAGGAAAAAGCGGTTCAGACTTGTAGCTGAGACTAAGGGGCATCATATCGAGCAATTAATTATCATAAAAAAATTCATATGCGGGTAAGAAAAATTGTTGAAAATTTCTCAAGTTAAGTGGCCCATCCTAGATATTAGAGGTCAGAGTTGAAAAACGGGTGATTTTTACCCGGCGGAGGAAGCAAACCCCACTCCTCTCGAAGGAAAACATCGCCCATTTTCTAAATTTCACCTAAAATATTTTGACAAATTCCCAGCATCGCACAAACTTCCTCAAGAAACATTGGTTGTTTTGACCTGGACTACATAATTTTTAAATTTCTACCAAATTGTGGGGGTAGACTTCACACCATCGCATTGTTGGTCATTTTTCCCGGATTAGTTACATATTTTGGAGGAGGATGAAGATTAAATAATCCCAATTAATTGATTAGGGATTAGGGCTCATTGGCAGATAGTGCCATTTGCAAATTTCATACAAATTAGTCTGTGCTCCATTAGCACTTGTTTGGTCAATATCTATGAGAATACGTTGTTGGGAGACCTCCATTATATGTAAGATTTCCAATTTTTTGGACTTTGTTTATTATTATGAATCATAATTTATGATTATATACATGTGAGTAATTTTTAACAAACATCTTATTTTATTTTTGAAGTCGGATATAAGTTTTAAAAGTTACGAAGCGTCTAGAAAAAGTATGCTCTAGGCTGAATACTATGTAAATATCCATGAAATCCACTACAAGCGACAAAACTCAATGTAGTTCAATAAATTGCCAAACCATGGGTCAGCTTGTTTCCGTGAGAGAACAATTAAAACTTAGTCAAAATAAATCGGTGAAATGTGAATACGTAGTCCTGCCTAACCAAAAATGACTACAAAATACAAAAAGTGGGGGGGGGGAGTGATAACAAAATTGCCCAATGGCATAAGAAAATTACCCTGTGAGAATGAATTTCGGGATATTTGTAAATTAAAACCGTCACCTAATTAAAAACGCTCACGCTCATTAAAATCTTGAAGAATACGGGGAATATTTTGAATTCTTTACAATTTTCGTGAATGTATACATTCAACATGTTTGTTTTAATTTTGTTTGCATTTATAAATGCAAATAAAATTAAAACAAACATGTTTCCAAGGCTCAGTCAGGGTTCGCTACCCCGGGTTTTTGTGGGTTGGGGTTTTTGGGGTTTTTGTGGGTTTTTGGGGTATCAAATCTCCGGAAAAACCCTAATGCTTAATGGGGTTTTTGCGGGTTTTTGTGGGTTTTTGTGGGTTTTTCCGGGGTTTTTGTAGGAGTTTGAGGCAGATTGAAACAAAATCCTTTAAACTACAACGTAGATCAATGCTAATTAACTTTTCTGCTTCATCTTGAAATTTTGAGAATTTTCATTTGCGACTTGCCAAATATCATTACATATTTCCAGGTTTACATGTCAAACATGAATTTTCGATGTAAAAGTCCAAATCAATGATAACGGTTAAAATTGTATGTTAAAATTGTACACTAAATTAGTTTATCTCTAATATATAATTTTAGGAATTCTGGTTCAACCTGCCCCAAAATCTACAAAAACCCACAAAAACCCACAAAAACCCAAAAACCCACAAAAACCCCAAAAACCCCGGAAAAACCCCCGGGGTTGGGTTTTTCTACAAAAACCCCGGGGTTTTCCGAACCCTGGGCTCAGTGACTCAGTGACTCACGGGACGGAGCGCATGTGCGCGAAGCGCACAGGCGCTCGGCTTGGTTTGACCTGCATATGAGGTCAGCGTTAGACCTACCTGGCCTCTGGGGTGGTGGAAAAGTATACTCCTCCACATAAATATGTGGGTTAGCGACTTACAATGCGATGGTGTGAAGTGTAACCCTCCGATTTGGTTGAAATTTCGAAATTAAGTGGTCCATGTCAATACAACCAACGTTTCTTCAGGCAGTTTGTGCGATGGTCAGAATTTGGCAAAATATTGGAGGTCAAAGGTGAAAAATAGGTTATTTTTACAAGGCGGAGGAAGCAAATTCAACTTCCATTGTCTTCCCGTGCTAAAAATTACACATTTTTCAACTTTAACCTCAAATATTTCGCCAAATTTTGACTATCGCACAAACTGTCTGAAGAAAAGTTGGTTGTATTGACATGGACCACTTATTTTCGAAATTTCAACCAAATCGGAGGGTTACACTTCACACCATCGCATTGTTAGTATTGTTGAGACAAAGTTTGCGTGACGCGAAAACTGACCACGATTACATTGCTTTCATAACGTTAATTTAGATTGTTACAAAACTTAATTGTGTAAGCATGATCCCTTATCTAATCCAGAGGGCAAAATCGTATATAATTCACGTCAAACTCAAAATTTCCCAAACGAATGATTGATCAACTCATTCGTCCCATAAATCTATAACTAAGTGGTTTTTAATCCCTCGAATTGAAGCCTGACCCTGCATTGTAATGAAGAACTTTTGAACCACGCCAAACTTAACACTTTATCACTGTCGGTCCTGATTACAACGGGTATAAAAGAGTGGCCAAATTATCCTGCCATATTCACAATCTCTTTGCCAATTCAGTTGCAATTATCACCATGAAGCTGCTTATCTTCCTCGCTGCCAGCCTCACCGCCGCGCATGCCGGCACCGTGGATCCCGCCCTGCTCGACCCTGTTGAACACAAGGGCGAAACCGAAGCCATCCTCGAACTTCCCCAAATTATGGGGCAAGTCGAAGCCAACCAGGCTCTCCAATCACTCACCGGTGACGCTAAAGTATCCGCCCTCATCACTACCTTGAAGGGACTCACTTCCGCTGCCCAGGCTCCTTTCATTTCTATCGCAGCGTCCCTTGGTCTGACCACCGAACCCTATTGGGCCTCCAACATTATTCTGGTCAAGGGTCTAACCCCTGATAAACTAGCTTCACTAGCCTCCACACCGGGCGAATTCACCCTTCGCGCCCAAAACATCGCCACAATTCCACCGCAAGAAACAGGGGCCGAATTCAACGCTGACATGAACCAAAATACGCCGCAGTTAGGAGTTGCCCAAATCCGTGCTCCTGTCGCATGGGCGAATAATATTACTGGCGAAGGCGTTGTTGTCGGCATTATTGACACCGGCGTTAACAACGCTCACGTGGCTTTTAACCAAAGCTTTGCCGGTGTTTGGTTAGACCCCTACTACAACCGGCCGGGCCCATCTGACCAGCAAGGTCACGGTACCCGATGCGCGGGAATCATTTTTGGACGTGAAAACGGTGTCGGTGTCGCGCCTGGAGCGCGATACGTCGCTTGTAGTGGACTGAATCATCAAGGATCCGGACCAGAAGCTGTGATCATAAGATGCGCGCAATATTTGATGACGGAAACTCCACGTCCGCACATAATTAATAATTCATGGGGCGGTGGGTCGAACAACACGTGGTTCAACGCAGCTATCTCTGCGTGGCGAAATGCAGGAATCATCCCAGTGTTTCCGGTTGGATCTTGGGCCAGTTCTGCTACCTGTAGATCAGCCATTTCCCCCGGGGATCAACCAAACGTGATCTCGGTCGGAGCCACGACCGAAATTGATGCCCGGTCAATTGACTCGGCTCGAGGACCAAGCCTTGACGGACTTCTTAAACCAGAAGTCTCCGCTCCAGGAAGCAACATTGTCTCTTGTGGGGTGGGAGCTAATGATTATGTTGTCGCGTCTGACGTCACATTGGTGATTTTTCGGCAAAGATTTGGTGTAAAACTCTTAAAATGTCTAAAAAAATTGTTGTAGGCTGGCCCCCACGTGTCTGGAGCTATTGCCCTTATCCTTTCGGCTCACCCAACCTGGATATTCGACGAAATTTACAACGCCCTCGCCAAATCCGCGGCTCATCCAACTCTTTCGAGCGAGGACAGAACGTGTGGATTTCCGGGGCCACATGACTACCCCAATTATTCCTTTGGTTATGGACGTATCGACGTTGCGGCGGCTCTTGGTCTCTAAATTGGTCCTGCATCATGGTTTCAATTAAAACCCTATTTTTGTTCCAACTGTAAATTGTATTGAACATGCTGTGTTACAAAAACAATATTATATTTTAAAATTGTACACTCAATAAATTGCTCTTGGTCAGTTCTCGTCGGCACTTATATTTTGCATATGTGAATATGTTCCCAGTTGGTCGAAAGAATTACGCCTTCTAAATAGTCGTTCAATTGTTTAGAAAAAAGGGCAATTTTTAAATACTAATATGCATAATTTTATGGGGCCGTACATCAATTACGTAACGCAAAAATCGTCATGTTTTAAACCCCCCTCGGAACGGCATCGTAACGCTTCTCGAGTACCTACATACTTTCCCTTCGTAGCGTAACGCAAATTTGATTTCGTATATGTACCAATAGTCATTTGTATTCTTTCAGTCCTACAAAATTCTCTCGTTGGGAGGCTCTCTTGCAGAATAAATAAAATGAAAAATGTACAGAGAGTGCAACACGTTGCTGAAAGCGTATTTGACCTTGAATAACCCCGGAACGGTTTGTCGTAGAGGGCCAAATTTTTGAACAGAGGAGAATGTTATCCTCAAATAGTTGTGTGCAAAAATTCAACTCTCTGCTTTCAAAAATGCCTCCCCCACAGCCGCCAGAAGTCAAGACAGTCATTTCAACTTGTTCCAGAAAAAATCTTGCCCGTGTTTGCAAATAATTTTATTTGAATTTTCTGTTGAGGAATAGGAGTGAGATATGGGTGACATTTGACGAAGCACTATTTTCCCTACAAGTCACTAATTGGGTTCGAAGAGCTTACTACACGACAAAATGAGGTGATTTTTCATGATGACGCAGCGTCTTCCCAGACGGCAAAGTTAACCAAAGATAATGCAAAGGACCTTGAAGCTAGATTAGGGATAAAAATCATTTCAAATAGTGAAATACCTGTACAATCCCCCAATGTAAGTCAAATTGACTACTTTGAGTTCTGATACTTGAAAATTAAAATGTTTCTGCTGGGACCGAATTTTTTAGACGGAGTTTGGAAAGAGTTGAAATGACTGTCTCGACTTCTGGCGGCTGTGGGGGAGGCATTTTTGAAAGTAGAGAGTTGAATTTTTGCACACAACTATCTGAGGATAACATGCTCCTCTGTTCAAAATTTTGACCCGCTACGATAAACCGTTCCGGGTTATTCAAGGTCAAATACGTTTTCAGCAACGTGCTGGACTCTCTGTATGTATAGATCACTTTGCTGGTCACTTCATGGTGCAAAATTTTGTTACAAGTATTTATATTTTTTCATATCCACATTTTATTCATACATAATAAAATACTATGTATGTTACAGATTACCTGTTTCTTATAAACTGAAAATATGCACGCTTAATAAATAATTTCCACACAAATGAATACATCAATTTACATATCAATGATTAAGTGTTTATTATTATACACATATTATGTATCTAGATTTAAACGTGAGAATCGGGGAACTCATTGGATATCAGTACAATTTATATCAATGCATACATACGTAATCATTATTTATTAATTACACATTAACCAACACGGCCAATGTAAAGTCGATGACATGTGACATACATACATACCTATATGTACACACATATTTAATAATGCAAGTTGAAAAACAGGAAAACTCAGATATTGAAAACGTGTGACTAAAGTTATTCTTAATTCTAAGCTTTTGAATGAGTAAATATTTACAAAAATTCTAGTAAATTTCTAATATCCTGGCATCCTGGCATGCGTCCTGGCATAAGTACGTATGTAGTACAAACTACCTAACCCAGACATTTAAAAAGCATATAACCGTTTAGTAAAGTTGCCCACCGAAAAATAAGCTTTTTTGCTTTAATACACCAACAAAGAATGAGGACATTAACAAGACTTCTCGTTTTGGTTGCTGTCGTGTATTTAATCCCATAATTTAATACCACCGCCTTCCAAAAACATGTCACTAATTACCCACAAAGTTACGCATTCCTTAAGGAGCTCCCGTCAAAAAGCTCTGGCTAATGGTAAGTTGTTATCTTTTAAACAATGTAGGCAAATTTAGAATACAAAGAAAAAATTTATTTTAGTAAATCAGGTTAAATTATATGTTCCCTCAGGAGTTGTAGAATAGATAAAACATTATACTAATGTAACCGGGCTATGCAATGCAATACATATTAGGGCATCCAAAACCGGTTTTTCCGATTTTGCAAAACCGGTTAAAAACCGGTTTTCGATTTACCCGAAAACCGGTTTTATAATTTTCCAAAAAAAAAAACGTTTTGTAAAAAACCGGTTTTATCTACCACACTCGAAAACCGGTTTTCGATTTTTGATAACAATTGCTTTAGAACTACAAAATATTAGTCATGTCTTGTTTTTCATGCAGAAATAAATTGTGGTGAAATATTTTTTCCGAAATTAATGCCCAAAATTTATTCAACAATTTTACATTATACTTAACACGTTTTTAAAATTTTGTAGAAAACAGGTGTGAAAACCGGTTTCGGAGAAAATAGAAAACCGGTTTCACGAAAATTTAAAAAACCGGAAAATTCTAAAACCGGTTTTACGAAAGTTTTCCAAAATCGGAAAAATCGAAAACCGGTTTTTCAAAATTTTCCGATTCTGGATGCCCTAATACATACAGAGGCAGAAGAGATGAATACTATAGAACTTGGCATCTGGTCCAACTTTCAAAAATGAAACCAAAAATTATTTAGCGTTACCACAACTTTTCTCTCTCCAGCCACACGGATAAATACTGATACTCCGTCGTACAAAGTTGCGTCTAAATATGTAAAGTAATCTTGATTTCATTACTTTTGCATAATATTAAATTAAGTGTATTATTCAAACCAGGACACACTATTCCTGACGACATGTGTTAAGCACCTTGGTACACCTTTTCATAAACTACCCATGACGGAAATAATTCGGACCTCAGTGATTGCGCAGGTTGCAAGATATCTCTCAGAAGAAAAAGTATGCACCAGAAGGAATTTACACGAAAGATTTCTCATATTCTATAGTAAGTTAGGCATTCATTTTTACGTGAAACAAAATATAACAAAACATTGCAGTTGCCACCATAATTGCAATGCTAGCCATAAAATAGGTGTTTTACATAAACACCAGATGTATTTTAGTTGATTAATTCATGCCCTCTTCGCAAGTTAAATAATTCAAACACTAATTGAATAATTTTGAAATTGTCGTCACGATTTTAAGCTGAGTATTTCGAGAGGATGCAATCAATCAAGGGGATCGTATCTTAAAATATAACTGAGCCCTTAACTGGTTGGGACCTATCGTCATTATGAAACTCGGCAAAGTGCCTACCTATTTAGTACCCTTTGGCCCTGTAGGTATTTCGAAGGACTGTATAAGAAATTTCTCTGAAAGCAAAGAATAAGATATGCTAAAAAATTTCATTACACATGTGTATATATGTACAGAAGTGGCATCTTACCCAATAGTGTCCAGGGGGGGGCGATAATTTTCATACTATCCCCATATTTAAAAATCAAGCCCACCAGAACAATAATTTAAAAGTGCTTTACAATAATCCGAATAAACATGGATAAATTTTCTTCTCTAATTTCACCACGGTCAAGTTATGACATATGTAGTTCACACAAAAAATTAATCACCATTGACAATTTTCACGCTTTAACCACCGCCCAGTTCAAGTGTCTTACTATGCTTTTGGACCATAGATTGCCCATTGGATTGGCTGTCGCATTGTGCACCCTATTTTTGAATCGTGGATTTAATATCTCAGGTAAGATTTTTTTGTCTCCAACTCTTTCCTCATTTACATTATGATGAACAGAGCCGATGTTGGAAAGTCGGGATGCGTATGCGTCTTTACGGCAATATCCCGTTTTCAATTTATCACTACGTTCTGTGATCCTCTTCATTGGATCGCATTATGAATTCTCGCCTACCCAAATATTCAGTGGCTTTAGCAGATCCGGCCGTGGCATTGGTTATCTCTCAAATTAACCGACTACCCGTCAGTTGAATATGTATATATGTACATTTCTGCCTTTTTCGGACCGCATGCCCAATAACCTTGCCATATTTTTATTGCATTAAAATGATTGGTTACCACAACTGTTGGAATGGGGTGATCTCGTTCCAGCAGAGTTGGATGAAAATCAAGAAAAATACAAGTGGAGATGTTTGGCAATAGTGTTTTAGGAGGATCAGCCTCAACGTGATTGAATTTAATTTGAGAAATAAATAGATTTGAAATAAGTTCAACCAGAAATAAAAGTGTACTTTGTTTGATAAAGGAATTATGTATGCCTTGGTCAATCTTATGATTCTAAACATTGCGACCTTCCAGGATTTCAATCATATTTCTTGTGGTAAGGTAAAGATTGGTGGCTTAACACAAGGAATGCATTCAAGCTTCACACAACGTGAACCCTACTGTTTTCCTAACATCAGACATTTTAGCTGCACATATGGCCCAAGAAAATGGAACAATTGCGGAACAGAAAAAGTGGCCTGGAAGCAACCAACAAATAAGTAACCATTGAAACGTAGAAAAAGGTTTACAACCATAAGTTAAGAATAAATTTTCCAGAAAGTTTATATTACCGAAATTTGCACTATACATTCATGCAACATCGTAAAATTATCGTCAACTGTAATAAACGTTGTTTTCGCTACCGTACATACAGTCTTGCATATATTTGATCAGCTGAGCCGTGAGAAGCGCGTGCCCGTAATAAGTATTACCGGTTAGACACGGGACCTCCATAACCCAAGTCTCCGGCAACAAATCATGTCGACCTGTACATTTTTAAAACTTTAGCTTTTCAGATGCGGGCTTAAGAAATACGCAAAACTCTCTACTCACTCTGCCCTAACAAAAACTAGGGAACTTACTCTGGAAATATAAACAGTGATACTGTACAAGATTCTGTGTTTTTATTACTTAGCTTAATTTAGCAAGTAATTGAAATTACTTAATTTTCAGTAAATTTTTACGAAGCTGAATACCATTAGGCTTTGTAAACAGCATGACATATAGAAGGCTAGCCTATGCGCAGTGTTATCGACCATATTTATCAATCAATCCGAATCAGAAGAAAATTTAGGTTAAAGAGCAATCGTGATACGAAAATTTAGTGGGTACGTTAGGTATCCGGGATACCTAAGATTCTGTATATTCTAATATATACTTCCTTAAATAATCGACGCATAACTGAACCTTACCAAGGTTAAATTTTTCGAAAATATTTCCTATTCATAGAAAGGGTTTATGGGGAGGTCTGTCAACAATCGGCAATAATTTTTTCCGGCCAGGAACGATATAATAATTTTAGTTACGTTGGACACAGCTCTGTAAAAAATTTAAGAGACATAATAATCGCGATAATCTAGTCAGGCTTAATAGATTTATGTCCGCCAAATTTAGCAAAGAATTTGTTATTTGAGTGATTAGTTTGTCTTAGCATATCCACCGAATCAAGAGGAAATACTAAATAAAAAGCATGATAATTTCTTTTCATCAGTTGAAAAGTAATTGGAAGTTGATTTACAAACGAATGAAGAAGTCCCTATTTGGGTCTTACTCGATTTTTGTATGATGGTAAACCATGGTCATTTCCCATTAAATATGTGTTCAAATGTTACACATTTGTACAGATTTTGCAAACCAACCCAAAAATTAAGGATAAAAAGCTGGAGAATTTGGTAAAAATTCATTAATACATTGGTATTATGGGATGACAACGAGATTACGAAGGTATTACGAGATTATGAGATTATTATGGCCTCAAACCTCCACATAGTAAATCTTTATAGTAAAGCGTCTGTGAAAAAAAATATCCAAATTAAGTATTCTTCACTGAAAGAGGGGAGGGAACCACCATGAAAAGCACTCGTGGCAAATCAATAACGTTAAAAACTTCGGTTGATAAGGAAAAACTAAATTGGAGCAATCCAGAAAAGCGACAAGGTAGAAAGTAACTAGTGAGAATAATTTTGCCAGGAAATTACGAATGTAAGATTAGAAAGAACCGTAACACAAGTGGTGCCGAAAGTAATGTCAGCCTGTATTCTAAGCTTTCCCCCTATATTAAATAACCCATTCTGACTGCCTTCTAACAATAACTATGGGACTCAGGCTGGAAATATAAGTGCTGAAAGAGTACAATGCTTTATAATTTGATTTTAAGCACAAAATTCAGGAAGTTTCAATCACCGAAATTTACATTATACATGCATGCAACCCGGTTATAATCCTTATGACGAGGTAAAATTGTCGCAATTTTACATCCGTTGCATTCGCTATCGTACAGTCTTATATCGGATCAGCTAGAGCGTAAGAAGCCCGTGACCATGATACAAGCTCGACTCCGTACCCTAATTACCCCCGCAACAGAAATGGTGGAAAACGCGGTGAACCTGTGCAAATTTTTAATTTTAAATGTATTTTAAAAATACATATTGTACAGCTTAAAGTAGCAGTTCAACTAGATCTGTATACACTTATTTTACGTTACACCCGTAATTAAGTACAATGCTCAAATTAAAAATTAAGAGTGTAGCAAATTTAGCCAATGCATAACTAAATACTAAACATATGTAAGACATAGAACATTTGCTTTATCTAAATACCTGTACTTTACTTTATCAAAGCATGCACTCTTCCGAAATAAATTAGTTCAAAATAATGGAATTACTTTGTAATTGCTATTACTGTTTTAGGATATTTTCGGAAGATGTCAATAACACTCTAAGAAATGTTGTTACGATTATAACCGGAAAGTACATACATATGACTGTACCGCCATTGTAATAAATCTGGCACCAACTGGTTATACATAAATTCATCGCAACTATTTCATAGTAACCAACTTATGTAGTACCACGGGGTGAAAAATTTATAACCATAGCGGTAGAGTTATACATATGTATACATATGTTTAGTTTCTGGCTGTAATCGTAACCACATTTCTTAGAGTGTAGCTTAAAACGTAACCCACCCTTAAACTGGCTCGGACCGATCGTAATTATGCAACTAGACGAAGCACCTTTGAAGGTATTTTGAAGGACTGTATGAGAAATCTCTGACAAAACAAAGAATCCGTTATGCTAAATAATTTCATTGCAAATGTATCATAAAACTATCCAAGTACATATAAATTGAATTTAAAATTCAGATTGCCTAAATTTTCAGAATATTTCCGTTAATGCGTGCAAGCCGTATAATCTCTTGAACGACGTACCATTATCGTCAACAAGGTTTTCTCAACCCGACCTTGATTTGTTCGGTGTTAGTTTGTGTTATCCGTCCTATCAAATTGACATGTTTGCTGAACATAATCTTGGTAACCGCAAAAAGGACCTGGGGACCAAATACGGCTGTAACTAGCTAATTGGACCGGCAACCCTCTCGCAACATACCCTCTTCAATTTTCATTAAATTTTTTAGATTGAACAAGACCCAGCAGGACCATCCATTAATTCTCCCTTGCAAAATTATTGCACAGCTAAAGATTACTAATAATTTCTGGACTTGATCAGAAATGAAGGTCACCACTACAAATACCATTTTAATTTTACTACACATTTATCATGACATCGATAAATTCGTAGTTTTAAGTAATAAATAATTCCTGGTAATATTGCAAGCCTCAGCATTTCAAACGATTTATTTAGATTTTAATTATATTCCCTATAGATAACCATGTTAACGTTCTTAACCCCTTATTGACGAATTCTACTGCTCTCAACGGAGAAGTACCGATTCTCGGTCGTACACAAAACTGAGAATGTGCCAATAAATCGGTAACAGCAGATAGACATCAATACACTTAGGGACAAGCTCGCCGAAGAGAATACCCGTAACAGAAATAGTGCAAAATGAAGTCAACCTGTGTATTGTACATTCAAAATTCCAGTTTAGGAGATTCAAGCGAGATAAATACACATAACGCTCTACTACTTTACTTTAAAAAGAACGTCACGATTTTCTATTTGTGGTATCGATGAAACTTCCAAGTTCGGTGAGGCCACTGCACGTAAGCTAATGGTGCCTCCTTAATAAACCCAAATGTGTGTCATTGGTTTATTCTATTCGTTAGAATGCTTGCATTATTACAAAACTATAATTTACAATAGATATTATCACGGCACTGTTGCAACACCAGCGCTATTTTAAAATAAGATTTGAAATTTTACAACACCTAATCAAATCAAAATTTAGCAAAGGCCTCGGTTAATCGTCACTGTAAAATAAATCTGCATCCAAAACAGAATGAAAAACTACTACTGCATTTAGTAAGCGAGGACTAGATTTATTACTACATAAAATTTATAGATAGTCAACAAACGTGGTTAACGTGAAAGTAAAAAAAAACAATTCGGCAACGAATTTTCAAGGTAAGAGAATATAATAAATTTCCTCATTGGTAAGTTATGAGATCAGGTGTAAAAATTGTGATTTTTACAAAATTTCACATTCGAAATTTTTTTCGAATGAGAAATTTAAAAATTTAGAGTGCCAGTTGTAACAATTTACTAAATGTTGATCGTCAAAATTTAACTAGATAAATGACTTTCTCAATAAGCTTAAGAAATTTCTATGTTGTGAATCATAACGTGACAGAGTTCATTTTCACATTCAACACATAAATAACTGTCAGAAATACACATCTCAATTTACGTTTTACCTTTATATGCTGTTTAACTTATGATTTAACTTATGGCTTAAATTAACAGTTCAAGTGAATATACGCATTTATCAATACAACGATAAATGCGCGCTTTCCTCTGGCCAGTTTCTCTAGCCTTCTTAGATTGTCAATCTTCTATCCAGGAAGAACAAGGTGAAGCAGAAAACCAATTATGACACATATGGACGTTAAATTATCAAGTACATACCAGTATACTTTTGAACTAGACTTTCGTCGTACGGAAATTCCAATATTTATTTCTGCCCTCGCCACAAATACCTTTTGTAGCGAAATCTACTCCGTAGGAAATGGTGCCCACTTATAATCAAAAAACTTGAGAAACTAGCCGATCTATGTACCGGTTTGAGAGATATGAAGCCTGTAACCCTGTAATAAAAGAAATGACAACTACCCTAAAGAGTGAAGATTTAAAGTGTCAAAAAGCACTTTAACCACAGATGGTAGTATTATCCACCCATTGCCACTTAGCTCGCTTGAAAGAACCTGAGTTGTGTCTCAGAAAGTTTGTGAGATTTCATTCCACTATTTTTAGTCAAGAAACATAACACAAATCTGCCATTATGTAGCCATCGACCTCCGCACCATTACAACCGTATGCGTTCGTGATTGTCAACAAGCCTTGACAGAAGATAAGGACATTTTCCTTAATTTTCGCGTTCTCTATTAATTAATTCTCCCGTTGTGGGAATAACATCTCGAGCCTTGAGACGATGCTTACAAGAGCATATGTTCCTCCTAAATTAGGACTTTAGTTTCAAATAATCATCAATTCATTGGTTGAACTAAGGTAACTGTACGAAGTCCTTTGTTAAGATTTAAAAATTACAATTAGAGAAGGACAAGGTGCACAAATGTCGATCTGGGGCCAAGACTTTTAATTTTTTAATTTTTAAGATTATGATGGTATAAGAATAAATCAGTGTGCTAGACTTGAAAAAAATTACCTGCAGCAACTTTCGTAGGCTGAAAAATGGAAATTTAGCCATGCCAGTTTTTGACACCTTAAGGGGACATTATCTTCAGAACGGCTACAGATTTGTGAAGACATCGAATTTAGGAAATGAAGGTACTTAAATAAGGTTACTACAAAATCTCATACTAACCTTGTATCTCGCAAACCGGCTCCACAGAAAAATCCTATATCACAAAAATCATAAGTTTTTTGATGTTCGTTATAATATTTTGCTTATATGGCATCGATTGAACCGTAGGATTTTGCTCGAATAAATTTTTTATGAAAGACCTATTATACCCATACACCATATAAAAAATTAGGCGGTAAAAACCAAACATGTCAAAATTAAACATTGAAGTCTTGAAAATGATCGCCTATTTGATCTTTTATCTCAAAAACTAAGATACACGCCACCGCCCAATTTTTTATATGTTGCATGGGTGTAGTTGGTCTTCGATAAAAAATTTATTCGAGCAAAATCCTACGGTTCAATCGATGTCATATAAGCAAAATATTAAAAAAACATCGAAAAAACAATAATTTTTGTGAGATCGGATTTTCTTGCGGATCCGGTTTGAGCAATTTTGGATTAGTATGCGATTTTTTAGTTACCCTATGTAAGTACCATCATTTATCTAATTGGTTGTGTTCAGAAATCTGTAGCTGTTTTGGACATAATGTCTCCTGAAGACCTTAAAAATCGACATATGTCGATTTTTCGCTATGTATCGAAATGCTGCGCTTTTGGCCTTGGAGGTAACTTTTTCAAGTCTAACATCCTGATTTATTCTTTCAATAACCATCGGTACCATCATAATCTTCAAAATTAAAAAATTAAAAGTCTTGGCCCCAGATCGGCATTTGTGCACCTTGTCCTTCGGATTCTCTTTTTCTCGGACTATTTTTTTCTGACTTTCTTAAAAAATAAAATTCCCGAGAATGTATAAGAGGCCGCAAATTATACATCGATAAATCAATCTGTATTTGAATATATAATTAGGTGCAGTTGTGGCTACAAAATTTCCCTACTAAATTTTCGGTATTTTTTCTTTTAAACGTAGCTTAAAAATTTGCAATATTTTGTCTTTAAGACATTTCTACCAGTGATTTTGTCAGGCTAAATATATTACGATTTACAGTCAAAAAATGTGTATTCATTTTGATAATTTGAACACACAAATTTTGAACACTACTAATATTATTTTTATAATTAAGACATATTTTACTGATAATAAAAATTATACTACGTACATCTTGAAGTGCGGGGAATTACTTTGCCAATATTATTGTAACCGCAGACCTTAAATTGAGTAAATGTCTACGCGTCAGTAAATGGAAATGACCTTTCTGACTAGAAAGTGCTTTCCTTGGTTGAGCGGATCTGCTGATTATCTCCGAAGGTACGCATCTTCAGACCTATAAATACATAGTAAAAACGGCCAGGTTACGTAAAAACGATTACCCAGAAATATTTCAATAAAAAACACAATTTTTAAAACTGCAAAAGTAAATTTATGTCGTATGAAAATACCTGCTAACATCGGACGTGCAAATGAAGGGAACGAGTTTCATCGATTGCCAATTAAGTTTTCAAAACGAGGTGCCTATAAAGTCAGTCGCAAATTGGGCAAAATTTAAGGTATCGACATATGGATCTTTTTGTAATGACGGTTGCATTTAATTCAAAAAATTTGCATACCTGTGTAAACTGGGTTCCGTTGATGAATTGTCCTTAAAAATCGCATTTTCAAGACCTCTGTCCCCTCCCTGCATTATATATATTTGTAAGTTAGGTGCACATATGTTTATATATTCTACGTATATAATTAATTAATTTGATTGCAAATTTATAGTCGAAATCCCCTTATTTTATAAATTTTTCTTTACTTAAACCTTTATTAAATAGGTTCATTGTTATGCGTAAATAAAAATCGCAATCATTGACATAAAAAGTGAATACATACATATGTGCATATTTACTTACAATTTCCAAATGATGTACTACAAGGGCGATTTAGATAAATGGCGGCAGAAGGAGAATTTAGACGTGACCATAACCTGGAAATGTTAAGTAAATAAGTAATCTGGCAATTTCACAAGAATATGAGTACACACCAAAAGAAAACATAGATACATAACGCTCGCTTCGAAAAGGTACGATGTATACATAAAGGCGATTTTTTTTGGATTTTTTGCAAACATTGAAAAACTTACATATTTAACAGTACACAGGGACAATCAATTAAAATCTATAAATCACCATGGTCAACACTGCAACAAAAAAATTAGAAATGTAACTCCCCCCCCCCTCACTATTGAAACGTAGTTTGATTTTATTATCAGTTCTTCAGAATAAATCGCCAAAAACTGTTGAAAGCAAACCAGCACACGATGTTGTGCACAATATCAGGTAAATGAAAGAATTTGGCAAACTTTATGCGAAGGGCCATTCAAAAATAATTTGATTATTTCAGTCTTCTGTAGATAAAGCAGGTTTTACTTTCTTCGTCACCTAAAACCCATGTAATCTCCAACCAACCTAAGCGACACAAAAGAATTAAAATCATGACATTAGATTGGAACGGCCCCCTCATGAAGTGGGTTGCAAGCTTAAATAGTTATTTATATCTGCTCCCGATCTTCTCCATTCGGATCGAGTGCATAGAAAAATGCGAATGTGCATGTATACATGCATCGCTTTATAAATAACATTCACCCCAAAGAACAGTTCAAGTTGGGCGTCATAACGGATGCCACACTTTCCAGCAAGGATCTCAACACGCGTAAAATTGGCAATCCCCAACGTGACAAGTACATACTGACTTATGAGCAATGCAAGTTTTTCACATGTAAAACGCAGATTTATCAATGCAAAAAAAAAACAGACAATATTATCTATCTCGTTCATCATAACAAATCATTTATGTAGTTACATAAATTTTTATGGTGCGATAATTTCACTTCGAGTACTTATTAAACATATATTGGTGTTGCCAATTAAGGTATGTATGTATGTACCCTAAATATTGTCTGGGATTTATTGGAAATGAAATTGGAATGGAAATCTAGGAAAAATTTTCTAACGTCATATTTGCACCACTTCTTACATAAATACAACACTAAATACGTACATACAGTATGCAAAATATGTATAAATTGTTTCGCACAACATTCGCAAAACAGAAAAAACATAAAACTTAATGATAAATTTTATCTGATAAATTATGAATTTAAATTAGCAATGAAATATAAATTTTACAATTATTTTAATTTCAAAATTGGAATTGGTGCATGGTTGTCGATCGTTTTCATTTCACTACCCGTTCCTTTGCCACGATCTGAGGAAAAAGGTTCCAATGATTTTTTGGGTTGTACCAAATTTCCTCGGTTGTTCATAGGGGACTCAAGCGACCCTAAAATTTACGAAGAAATTAACATTGTCAAATTCCCAGTTAAAGAAAATTAACACCTACACTCTTAAAAACAATGTCATTCTTCTGAAAAGTTAATGCAATCTAAATTAGATATGTAGAAAAACTATGCTACATAAATTCAGAATAACGGTAACTTGCCAAAGAGGAAAGTTTACTTTTGATTTGTATACATAGCTTATTAAATTAAGAATTCAGACTGCATTAAATTTTCAAAAGGGTTGCCATATTTTTAAGAGTGTATGCATATCTAGGAATTAAACTAACCAACTCTATTCCCCTTAGCCAGATTATTACTGGCGGGATTCTTCATTTTGGCGGCCAATTCATGTCCCACGATGGGACGATATCCCTTACTGACAACGTTGGAGATACCGGGTTTCTCACCGTTAGGAACCTTCAGCCCTAACGGTTTGGCTGCTATCTTTGCAGCCGAATAGCCTGCCAGGCCATCCGACACGGGAACCAGGGCCATGTGTAAACCCTGCTTGGCCGTTATTTTCGTCTCGCCTTTAATCGCACTGGCGAGATCATGACCCATAGCGACGTACCCGTGAGGCTTGGCCTTTTTTCCATTTATGAGCTTGGCGCTTCCTGTGTAAAGAAAAGGGACTCAATAAGGCGAGAAATTACAAATTTTCCAAGACAGGAACGGCTGTACATTACGTCATCAAAACAAACGCTGATTTTTCAATCGCTTACCTACCCGTTCCCTATCCTACAATTATTTAGGTCAACACAAGTAGGATGGGAGATCCGTCTTTTGATGACGTAATATATGGAATTTTTACACATCAGATGGCAACGCGAACCTATTTGAGGCGCGGGCTATGGCGTCAATTTATCTGATTTTTTAGCGGAGTCGCAATGATGACCGAATAGGAAATCCGATTTTTTGGCCGCAGCGCCCGTAAAATACCGCGACTTGTATTCAACTCACCCGTGATAATCCCGTCCATCGCTGCCCCGCCAGCGATTCCTCCACTAACCGCGCCCACCGGTCCGCCAACCGCGAGTCCGCCAATTCCTCCCAGAGCAACGCCTGTACTTCGAGAGGCGGATTTCATGGCTTCGTCCCCTTTCTTATTGTCCCCCAGGGCGTAGTGTAAACCCCCCTTGACATGTCCAGCGACTGGAATTGAGTCAATTACGTCGTCTAAATCGTCAGCAAACTTCTTCTGAAGGTCGAGTGCTTTCCCTGGCTCTCCTCCGATGGCGTAACCTATCGCAAAAATTTGACTTGCTTAAGTCTTCATATGTGCCAATATTTTCTGAATTTTGTAAATTCTTTACCTGCAGATGCGATTTGCGAGATTACAGGAAATGTGTTTTTATAAGCAAAGTTTTTCTGGGTAACAAGTGCTCCCTCCGCGTTGCCACCGACCCATTGAACGAACGATTTGGTCTGCGAGACCACCGGAATGCTGTCCGTATTTCCCATCTTTGGTATTTCGGGAAAGTTCTAAGCGTCCAAAAGCGACTTTTATGGAGAAATAAGTTATTTAAATCAAAAAATACTTTCGAATAAATTACTAAACTCTAATTTGACGATTCTCAAGCTGCTCCAATAAACCTATGTATCTTTGAATAGACCCGCTGCTCAGGCAATCATCTGCAACGATCTAACCCACTGATGAACGGTTCATGTCAAATTTATGCCAAAAATTTCCATTGACTAGTACCAAACCAGGTTATTGACTAATTTATCAATTGAATAAAATTCATATTTTGATATAGAAGAAAACACGCATGTTGATTTTTAGCCCAGTTGATGTGATACGAATTCTGGTTTTGGGGAATTTTTGTACTTTTGACTATTATTTTGCTGTCATGCGATATTTATGTATTGTGAAAGTGGGGAAGAAAAAGTGACACCATTCCGGTCGAGTCATTGCCCTGCAAACCCAGTTTGGTGAAAAGAGTTTGCTTTTCTAAATTTCTAAAAGATGCGATTTAATGATTTTATCAAACAGATAAAATATTTCGCTTGACTTTTAATCTTACTTTCTGGCACAACAAATGAAATGTATGCAAATGAAGATGCAAATATACAATGCTACATAGCTCAAACTTTAATTATACGTATGTGTCAAATTTAACTTTTGCTTTGAAAGAGTTTGTAAACGATTAAGATAATAACATATCATCTAACCTATTCAACTTGCAAACTACATACTAATTTATATATTTCTCATATTTATCCAGTCTCATGTTTTCTAAATTTAAGGAGGTATTTTCGCAATACATGGGTGTGGTTTGTGAAAGCAATTTATTCGAACTTTCAATGCTAACCTTGCATCATCATCAGGAAATCAGGATTTTAACAATATTATGGATCGAAATATGTACATTGCAGTTCTAAAATTTCATATTTTCTACCAAATCAGAACAAATATTGCCTAGATTAAATATCAAATAAATTATATTGCAATAATTTTGTGATATTTTTAAGGACACGAAAGTGCACGACTATTACCTGTAGTACATATTTGCACAATTATCACTTTTACATTGCACATCGATCGTTTTCCTCATTCCTGTTATGAGTTTTCGGAAATTTCCATGAACTGACCCAAATTTAACCACAAGTTCCAAGCATAGCACCAGCAAACAAAATAGCAGACATATCCCATACACATAAAACCCTGTGGCCACCTTTGAATTAAAGTCCAATTTTGTGAAGGCTTCGATCGTCGGATGTGTCCACTTGTCATAGTGATGAAACAATTTGAAAGGTTTTATCCGCCTATACCAAGCATTCCAGTAAGCATAAATGCCAGACGATATTACAAATTTTAGCCTTTTATAAGCAAACGCATCCATGACCGGATCACCACTCCATCCCTCATTTTGCATAAAAAATCCATCATCAACCGCAACAAACTTCTTGTTAAATGCGTTATCATTCAAATAAGGGAGAAGATCTGCAACGTTTTGCCGCGTGTCCATGTATCCCGTCTCGCAGGTTGACATTATTTCTAAAAACCTCGCTGATTCGTTGTTAAGCAGCAGTATGACTGATGTCTCGTGAGCCATTATATTGGACATATTTGCAAAATCTAACCCTGGTATGGACGATATCCATATCTGCGCCACGTGGCGGTAATCTCGAAATAATTTTGCACTCTGAGCAAAATACGCAACCATCCAATGCAATCTTTCCACCAACTTCCAATAGAACATTAACGTTTTCAGGTACCGCGGTACTCCATCGCCGCCAATCCCCAGGTCCAAAGTTTGGTAACGCATCGCCATTTTGACATTTTTGAAATCAATTATATTTTTCCATGGTGCCGAAACCGGTTGGTGCGATCATGTCAATCGTGAAGGCGGTTTTGTACCAATTAGTTAACACAGTTCCCAACAGGATGGTCCATAAAAGAAGCACCAGTTTTAGTCCAGTGGTGTACCTCCGCGCGTAAAGGTTTTAGGTTCGCCGAGGACGGAATTTTCTAGTAGAATTCCCGTAGCTATGAACCACCCGGGCGTTACACCCTTCGGAATTATGGCAAAGAATAAAATTACCGAGACGAAACTAACCACCAGTATGGTCCACGTACAAGTATCGAATGGGTCAGAAAGAGCGCGAAATTGGGAATTTTGGGTTCCCACCTGGTAGCATGAAACTATCCGAAAGGGATACGTTTCCTGTGGAATGACGACGAGTCGCATTTTGTCCGCAGAGTACAGTTGGGGTTCCCGTCGGAATATGTAGACATCATATTCGCGACGAAAGTTTGGGGTGTACATAATTGTTTCGTTTGACACGTGAGGGAGCAGGTCTTGAAATATGATAAAGGCGAAAAACTCGTCAAAACTGGTTAACTTCGAGAGCTGATGAATATCATAGAGAGTCATATGCTGGCTGTGGGAGGCGGCGCCAATCTTAAAAATATTAAAGAGTTCGTACATCCTGGGTAATGTCGCCCAGGCACTGGGGAACCAGAAATATTTGTTCAGCCCCCAAATTTGGCTCAATATTGGGGCAATCTTGTCCCAGCAGGTGCTAAATTTGCAATTGATTTCGTACCAGGGACGACTTTTGGCCTTTCCTGTAATCCCGACATATTGACGATTATGGATGTGCATCTTGATTTCACTCAAAATCTGAATAGCCCCGCCAGAATCGAGACGAACCTCCATGAGTAGATATTCTCGATCACCAAAGGGAACAACACCCTTGTGTGATTGCGCCAGTACGGATAAAATTTTCTGAAACAGGATTTTTGTCGCCGTTAACCACACGTAGAATTGCGGTTTCACATTGTCCCCAGGCATGTATCCGCGTCGGACGACGGTCGCCAGCTCCAACTTCTCCTCAGCTGTGAGTGGTTTTCCGTAGGGGTGCTTAGTGACCTCAGGGAGAACGAGGATGAAAGCCCAACAAGATTTCGAGGCTTCGTTCCTTCTCACGAATGCAGCACGGGCGGTTGGTTGACCGCTTACCCCTATCGGGAACTGGGTCATATTTCCGGCCTCGTTTATAACAATGATAGCGTTCATGTCCCATTTCAAGCAGGATATAACTCTATTGCTCGGAGTGGCTAGGATGGTGGTGCAATGGGAGAATGTGTTCAGTATGAGGTTTATGGGTTGAGCTGCATAATCAGAGCAAGCTCTGGCGTGAGGGATAAGGAAGTATATTAAGAGCAATGTGGTTTCACCTACCAGGAATTTCGCCATTTTTTAAACTTGTGTATACAAAAAAATGATTTGACCGGATTTCCTTAACTTTCCAAGTAGGTGTACAAATAAATACAGATAAATGTAGTAGACAAAGCAGATATTGATATATGTACTAAACCTTTTAACATATCTAACTCTGTACATCATTCATATAGCGATATTGGCTGCGGCGATCATTTGAACGAATAAATTCATTGATTGATTGATTGTACTAAACCTTTCAAGAAAAATTCACTGCTTTCAAGTGGCAAATCATAAGACGTGTGTCACTTACAGAAACAAAGTAATGTTGGAATTTTTGATATGTGTTAAAAATGTAGCTTTGCCCTATTATTTTATTATTTACAGACAAGCATTTATTGTTCAAGTCATTGTAATGTCAACTTGGGTGGATAAGGGACGGTCCATTAATCGTGTCACGCGATAGGGGGGCAGGGGATCCAAGGATATAGTGATTTCGTGTCTATGCGACACGTGTGAAAGAGGGGGAGGGGGTGGGGGGTTTAGAAAATCGCGACTTTTGCGTGACATAATTTATGGATCTCCCCTAAGAGACAGGCGAACTCACCCATCTTGACAATAGCGGTTAAGGCTCATGAGATGAGTATGTTTCCTATACATCAGTTTGCAGTCAGTCAACAGAAGCAAGGGGACAGCCGATGCTGTACATTGTAAGTAATTTTGACGTACATAAGAATTGACATTGAGTGGCGACAAGATACTATTATTGTCCTGCATGTCAAAATATGTTCATAGATTGGCAGAAACAAGGTGATACGCCTTGGAAGAATTGTAGCAACTTAGAACTCAAATATCTCGGAATAGGGCAGACGAAATTACCTCGTTGTTATTTCAAAAATAATCTAAAATAATCTAAACGGATTGATTATATCATTGGTAAAATAGTGCGAGAACTAGACGTTGTTTAGTCAGAAATATGGGCTTTAATGAATACGTCGATTAAACCGGATGCAAAAACTATTTATTAATCTATATATGCGTCTCATGAACCTTCCTGCGCAGTACAGGAAGTTTTCATGTTCGTCTGTACTTGCATTTTTTGTCGTGCTTGAAAATCAACAAGTTTATAATTCACTTTCTGCACAAACGTGTATACAATGACAGAATAATATTGTTTGACGTTTAACTTCATAAATTAAGTAGGTAATGAAGTTCATGAGATTAAAATATATAACAAATAACATATGTACAAATATAAATATTAGTTTAAAATATTTTGTTCGCAGGTTTAACAATGAACTTGGAGCATCTCTGACCATGTGAAGTCATGAATTTCCGTATCTTACCAAGTTTATGATGCATGTTTTTGAACAAATAAACAAATTCGGAAAAACATTTGTGTCCCATTAAACTTCATGAGTTATTTAGGTCATGAAGTTCATGAGATTAAAATATTAGACAAAAAACATACATAATCTTCAATCATCTAATATTATAATTCTAATTTTTAATAGACTCACAATTGAAAATTTTGTTTGCATCGGTATAAAAATGAGTTTTTATGTAGAATATCTATCATGAGAAGTAATGCATCTCTGTATTTCGGACAATGGAAATATGGTCTACTTATTAAAATTAAATATTCATTTTCGCTTCCGATCCTGCTTTTTGTTCACGTCAGTATAAAACCGGACCATTTTCAGTCGAATAGTAAGTTACGAAGAAGATTTGGTATAATCGCCAAGTGTAAAACACAATTTTATTTGCATATAAATAATCTCGGAAATTTTGGGAGGAAGTTTGGCAGAAAAAATGAAATTGTTCGTGATTCTCGTTTTCGTCATCGTCCTGGTAAGTACCTATGTACATATTCGTCTACGGCTATCTTGTCCAGTCTTAGAAACTCAATACTAATATAATTCCAAGCATGATTCATGGTTGACTCTAGCAAAGGGAGCATT